GCAGGAGTGAGCCCAGGGCTGTGGTACAGACGTGTGCAGGAGTGAGCCCAGGGCCGTGGGGCAGACGTGTGCAGGAGTGAGCCCAGGGCTGTGGTACAGACGTGCAGGAGTGAGCCCCGGGCCGTGGTGCAGACGTGCGCAGGACTGAGCCCAGGGCTGTGGTACAGACGTGTGCAGGAGTGAGCCCAGGGCCATGGGGCAGATGTGTGCAGGAGTGAGCCCAGGGCTGTGGTACAGATGTGCAGGAGTGAGCCCCGGGCCGTGGTGCAGATGTGTGCAGTTGAACCCATTGCATTGGTGCATCGTGCACCCCAGTGAGCCCGGGCACTGCTGATGCCCCCGGAAACACAAAGTCCCCAGACGGGTCCCAGAACCCTGACTATTCGACTGGGTAAGAGCTGCGGGTTGTCTGTCCTCTGCTGGACTGTGGACAGAGGAAGTAAGTGACGGTCTTCCTTGCTGGGTCCCCTGTGGTCCTACCCATGCAGCGCGGGCCCAGGGGCTCCTTGCTGACGCGTTGGAGGACAGATTCTCCCACTTAGCTCAAGAAGAGGCTGAGCAGTGTGGACTCGGACCATTACAGGCAGGCAGGCCACAGCACCGGCGTCCTCAGTTCATGACCTGGTAGACATCCACGCTGAAGGCTGAAGTCCAGGACCAGAGCAAGGCTTTGCACTTTCAGCGTTGCCATCAACAGCCAGCGAGGATTGGAGAGGCTGGGCCATCGCGGTCCAGGTGCAGGCAAGGCCCAGCATCCTGCCCCGACAGGTCCAAGGCCAGGCTGGGCTCCTAGGTGCTGGACTCACCCCTCCACACCAGCTCCCAGGCCCAGAAGCCGCTTATACGTTGCCAGTTTGGGCCAAAGTGCCGAGGCCTGGACAGAGTCTTGGTGATTTTTCCACAATCACATGACAGGGTTCTTCTTATCATTCAGTACATGCACAGGCTTGACCATTTTAGATACATGGCTGTGCTCGCCGTGTGTGCCCTGCATCGGACAAATCTAGGACGTTTTCAGTGCGTGTCAATGAAACTTCATGCCTGCTCATCAGTGACACACACACAGCACACACACACCACACACAGCACACATAGCACACACAGCACACATACCACACACACAGCACGTACACACACACACACACACCCCGCCGTGTGCTGGCAGCCGCCACTGTGCTTCCCAGTGCCTCGTATTTGTAAGTGGAGTCCTTTCCCGGGTCCCGCATCTCCACCTCGGGAGGACTGCTCCCTGGAGACCGGTTTCATTGCTGTTTTCTGTGATGTGTGCTTCTAAAAACACAGCCGTCTTCCCCAGGCTTTCTAGAGAGGCTTTGCACAGGTGAGCCCACGTCAGCCTACCACCTGGACACCCTCAGGCCCCCCGCCTCCGTGGGTCAGTGGGTGTCATCACGGGCTCCCTCGCGTGGCCGTCCTTGGGCCTGCAGGTTTCTTGCTCTCCCTGTGCAGCTGCCCCCGCCGTCCACAGCGTTGGTTCTGCCTCACTTCTCCGACAAGGCGGTTCCATGGGCAGTCTTCTCTGGAGGCCTGGGACATCATGTGTGCTTTCTGCTCCTCTCACGCCTCCCCAGGGCTGAGCCGTGAGCCAGGCTTCCTCCAAGCCCATGGGCGGTGCCAGCCTCTCTCCACGGCACTGCCCGGTCCCAGGTGCCACAACCTGCCTCTGGGCTCTCCTTTCTCAGTGGCCCCAGCGTCTGGAGGGTGCCAGCTGCTTGGCCTTCAGGCAGGCCCCTGCAAAGCCAGGACGCCGGACAGGTGTTCTGTCCTTCTCTCCCTCCCGAGAGAGAAGGCCTGGACTGGGGCTCTTCCCATTTGCTGAGCTGAGGTGGTACAGGGGCATCGCTGGCACGGGCGAGGTGAAGTGGCTCTCTTACATCTCAGGGTGCCTGTTCTTGGCTCCGAGCCTGCCTGGGATGCTGTGGCCTCACTGGTTTCTAGGGTTCTCATAGACGCGTTCGGCACTGTGAATTGTTGCTAGGTCAGGGTCGCTGTGGGGAGTGTGTCTGGGGTCCCTCTGTTCCCATCTTGCTCACTCCTCCTGTGCAAGGATTCTTAAAATCAGGATAGCAATTTTAGAATCCAGCATCTTTGCTCTGAATTGAACATACTCTTCAGAAATTACAGTAAATGTATTAAAAACTCAAAGGATGAGAAAAGTAAATGCATGAAAAAAAATTACAAGATTGTTTTAAGAAGTGTAACTTTTAAATAGCCAAAACCAGCCTTTGTACTCGTCTGAAGGCAGAGGGATTAATTTAGCTGATCATGGCTCATCACTCTGATGGAACAACAGACAGATATTTTAAAAACTCTCTCTCTCTCTCCCCCCCACACCCCCTCTCCCTCCCTCTCCATCTGTGTCCCTCTCTTGCTCTGTAACTTTCAAATAAATAAATCTTTAAGAAAGTTTACATTTTGCTAAGAGAGTAGGTATTAGTGTTCTTACCACAAAATAAGAAAAAGCAGACAGCAGCTTGATCTATAGGTGTGTAAATAGTTTGATGGTGGTGACAACTTCCCAGTGCACAATACATCACATTGTCCGGTTGTACAGCCACATCTCTACAATGTGTGTGTGAATCAATGATACTTTGGTGTTTGCCGATTATGCCTCAGTGAAGCAGAAAAAAATATGAAAGGAAATACCTAAAAAATCTCCCCTCCCAACATGCCATGAAAACGAGTAAGGGGTTTTTATAAATCCACCGTGAGGAAGAGGAAGGGAGACACAGCAATGGCGATTGCCAGTAGACAGCAGACACCTTGGAAGCCCCAAGAGAGAAGTCCCTGACACCTGACTGCCGTGGGAGAGGCCAGCAGGAGGCAGCAAAACCCCTCAAGGCTCAGGAACGTGCCCACCAGGGGGCCTTCAGCTGCACCCCTGCCCAGCAGTCAGGGCCAGGCGCCCAGCCCAGAAGCAGGGAACCAAGGGACCCTGACTGGCTGCGCCTGCGACAGGAGAGAGACTTCAGGTTCTCAGGGCCTCAGAAGTCCTCCTGGTGCACAGCCTGACCAGAAAGCTGCTGGAATGACTCAGAGACGTTTCAAAATGGAGGAAAGATGGATGACCCTGGAAACAAGGGAGGACGAGGAGACAGGGCTCAGGGGAGGCGGGTAAGCCAGAGACCATGTGTGAGCACACTCGGCGTTCAGCTGAGCAGCGGATTCTTGAAGAACGCTTCTGCCTGACACACTGCAGTGTCTGCTGTAGCCTTTGTCCTGGGGAGTCCGTTCCAAGCCCCCAGGGGAGCTGGCGTATCCTGTGCTGTCCCATACAAACCATCTATGATAAAGTAAGAGGTTACTGATAAGTAAGAATAGTGCCGTTACAACGACGTACTGACAGTTGCCAGCGTCACTGCTTGCTATAAAGTAAGGGTGACTTGAGTGCAGCTCTGGGTCGCTGACAGGGAGCTGATAGGAGTGACCAGCGGGAGGGGCAGATGCCAGGACAAGGGGTGGCTCCTGTCCCAGGACGGTGTGGGATCCCATCACACTACAAGGAATGGAACGCAGTTGCCACCTGTGTGAATCATTTACGGAACTTCCCGTTGATCACAATGACCACAGGTCACTGAAACGGCAGAAAGCAAGGGCACTGGTAAGGGTGAACTTCCGAAGACCTGAGCAGCGAGTTAATACGAATGCAACGAACTCTTGTGCTATGATTTTGGGGAAAATGAGTGTGTGTGTGTGTGTGAGAGAGAGAGAGACAGACAGACACTGAGATTAGATCCCCATCTCCTGGAGAAACCCAGCATCTAACGTGGAAAAATCAAATAGCACAGTAAGCTTGTGATCTAGAAACACCGAGTCGATGCTAAAAGAAAGGAGGGTTGGAAGTGGCCGCTGCTGCAGTGCAGGTGCTGGGCCGGCTCTGTCCTGACCCCAGGCTCTGGGGGGCAGCTGGCTGTTACTGCGTATGTTGAATGCACAGTGCACGCCACTTCAGACACGTGGGGCACGATTATCATGTTTCAGCAGAAGGAGGGAAAAGCATGAACAGCTAGTGGTGTGGGCTGACCGCACTCCCTGCAGAACACTCGGGCTCAGAAATGTTGAAGGTTTTGTAGTTCTCCAGGTCCTGGAATGTTTGTGTAGACCCCGCCCCCCAGCTGCATCCGCGATGCCTGCGATGCTGTGCTTGGATCATGGACCTGTAAGCTGCGGTTCCCGCTGAGGGAACAAAGCAGGGCGACCGTCGGCTGCCTTTCTGTGCGCTGTGGCTTCTGCAGCGAGCGCATTACTGAGCACCCACACGCGTCTGCATGCACCCACCAAGTCCCAGGCCCTGCCCAGGAAGGGGCGTTTTCCTCCTGCGGTCGTGAGGTTTTGTCCAGGCCTGGCGCAGCCGGTGTCAGTAACCAAAGAGCACCTGGATCAGACGGAGGCGGGCAGTGTTGGTCGGCCTCCCCTGCAGGCTGGGCCTGGAAAGGTCAGGGAACCCTGGTCCTGGGGTGCGAGGCGTGCTGGCCCCCTGTCGGTGCCGGCCGGTGCCCTGACTTGAACCCGCAGGGACGAATGACGCCTGGCTAAGCCTTACCCAGAGCCGTCCAATGGCCGAGAACTCTGGCTGACCTGAGGCAGGGAGAGGGTACCTGGGCCCCCCATTTCGCCCAGCTGCTGACCCTCAGGGCTGGGGGTCTCCTCTGCCTTGGCCTCCGAGCAGGGTGGCAGACCTCTGGCTGCAAGGCCGCCTTCCCGGGGCCAGCCCCAGGCCTCCCAGTCCCTTCTCGGCGCCCCTCTTGGAGTTCCAGGAGGAATTTCCATGTCACCTTTCCTTAAAAGCGAGGGGACTCCTCGCGGGTGCGCTCCAGGAGGCTGACCACGGCCCCCGGGAAGCCAGCCCCGCCAGATGCCAGCCTGCCCAGGGCGCCCCTGGAACTGGAGACCCCACGTTCCGCCAGGTGCACCTCCGGGAGCCGGAACCCCTCCCCGAACCACTCTCAAGGCGCTGTCTCCTGTTTCTCCTTGCTTCGTAGGTGTCTCTGGGGTCGCAGATGGATTTGCAGAAGAAGAAGCGGCGGGCGCCAGCGCCCCCTCCGCCCCAGCCGCCGCCGCCCAGCCCCCTGGTCCCTTCGCGCACCGAGGACTCGGAGGAGAAAAGGAAGAGCGCAGTGGGTGAGTGGTGCGCATGCGCAGCGAGGGCGCGCACCTGCCGTTCGTGCTTGCAGTGCCAGGGGTGCACCTGCTCTTAACCTGGCCGCGGCTGCGGCCCTAACGACACTAACCCGGGGAGAGAGAGGCTGGAAATACTCAGCTGCTGGTGGGCGATGTGTCTGCTCCTGGAGCGGGGAGGGCGGGGAAAGCCCAGACGTTTGCGTGTGAGAAGTAGCAGCTGGAGGTGGCGCCCACGGTCCTGAGAGAGCGCAGCCCCCGTGGGGCTGATGCCCGTGGAGCACACCCAGCCCCAAACCTCCAATCAGAAGTGCCCCAAACTCCAGACTCCCAAGTAGACAGTTCCACACCACGGAGCTTGGATTTGTGCAGAAATTTAAATAAACCGTTGTGTAAAATCACCTTCAGGCTGGGTATATAGGTGCTCAAGAAACGAAAATGAAAGCTGTATTGAGATTTGGCTCATTGTGTATATGCAGAGATTCCAAAATCGAGGAAAAAAATTCTGAAATCTAAGACACGTGTGGTCCTAAGCATTTTGGCTAAGGGACACTCAGCCGGGAGGAGCCGGCATGAGCGGGGTGTTGCACCGCCCCACACCCCTGGTTCAGACGCCTCCATCTGTGTGGTCAGGATCCTGACATCCCGAGAGAAGGGGAAGCCCTGGGAAGGAGGCCCCGGGCTCAGGAGCGGGCGTTTAGTTACGTTGCAGTCCTTCACCTTGATTGTTTCACTTCCGTGGGAGCAAACACGTCTGCAGGGAGGGCTTGGGGCGGGGCAGCCTGGCAGCCGCGGGCTCCTGGTTCTGAGTGCGCACGGAGCTCCTTCCCGCCAGGCCCTCGTGCACCTAGGCACCCCGAGTTTGCCCTTTGACTTAATGTCTGCAACCCCAGAAGGGAATAGTGGGTGCATCGTCCGCACCTAAGGCTTCAGTTGTCCCAGGGAGCGCTCCTCCCGTCCACGGAGGGTCTGTGCCTGTGCCGTGTGACGGCGCTCGCCCGGGCTCGCCAGCAGCACCTCCGGGCACATCCTGCCTCGTCTGCGCTCCGAGGGAGGACACGATGCTCTCGTCTGGGGAAGTCAACGTGTTCCCACGTACAGAGAGCCGTCGCCAAGAGAAGGGATACATGGCTGCAGCTGCCGAGAAGAGACTCTGGTCTTTTATCTTTATTAATAACCTGGTAAAGGACATGGAGTGTGGGCCCTGTTAGCTACCAGAAGTTTTTAAGCTGCAAAGCCTGAAGACAGGGTTTTTTAAAAGAAATAGTTCAGTCAGCATAGCCTGCGACCCTGGCAATCCCTGTCATTTGTCACACTGAGCCACTGCCTTTCCAAGATCTGGTCAGCACCAGAAAGTCCTTCGCAAATACAAACGGCAGCGTGTCTCCAGTGACGGCACAGAGGAGGGCTGGGGGCTGCTCCAGGCAGGCGCTCAGCGGCCCGGGGCCCAGCTCGCGTCCCACTGAAAACTTGCCCGGGGCACTGAGGGAGGTGCATGGAGCAAATGGGCCGGGGAGAGAGAGGCTTCGTGTCTGGTTCCCCTGTCTGCAGCCGTCAGTGCGGTAGGGAAAGCAGAAGGTGGTGGCTGAGCAGCAGCCCCGTGAGCCTGGGGCGACCAGTGTGGGCAGCTGGAGCTCCTTTTGTGTTACCTGGGCGGAGCTGCGGAGGGAGCTGCGAGCCTTCGTGTGGCTGTGCCTGCCAGAAGCAAATGGCCACCGGGCAGGGTTCCCAAACGGGACACCGTGGATGTGAGAGTGGAAGCTCCAGTGTGGTTGGGCCAGGTGCTGGCTCCTGTTGGCCTCGGTGTTGGATGCGGTGGGGCCGGGTGCAGACCGAGGCTGGACAGGGCATGCAGCGCGGGGGTTCCTGGGGAGTGAGGTTGAAGTTCGCGTTGGAAGCCGCTGGAGTTGGTGCTGGACGTGGGTGCACCTGCTGCGAGGTGAGTGACACTGTACTCTGCATTGCAGCACAGGGAATCTTGGAATCTTGTGGCTTGACTTCTGAAACCACTTCCCGTTGATTCCACGTAGGTGTCGGACGGCAGGTGCCACAGAAGCCTCCCAGGGGCACTGCTCGAGGCCCACCCCAGTTAGTGCTGCCCCCACCCCCACCCTACCCGCCTCCTGACACAGACGCGGCAGAGCCTCTCGGCTTTCCCGGGGAAGGCGCTGGTTCCGAGGCCTCGGACCTGAGACCCAAACGTACGTGTCCGTGCCGGCTGTGTGTTGGCCGTCTGCCGCAAGCCTGGTTTCCACACTTCTCTGTTCTCTCCTGTGTCTGTGCCGCTCCTTCTGTCCTGCTCTCTCAATGCTCAGTGCAGTGCCCGGGCACAGAGCAGGCATCTGAACGATGCCGCCGGTGGGCCGTCAGGACTCAGCCGCAGGTGCACCGTACAAGGGGTGGGTGGGGACCCTGTGGAGAGGGGGCTCCTCCTCCTCCCGTCCGTCTCGCCCTCGCTGTGTCCGGAGAGCGGCGGCCGCTCGGCCCGGCTGCGCTGTGGTCTCCAGGCAGGCTCGCTCACACAGGCCAGTGAGGGCTGTGCTCACGAGCCTGGAGCTCTCCACCTGTCAGTCCGTCTCTGCGTGGCCAGTGGCCAAGCCTTGGTGCCGAGATAGCAGCGAGGGAGACAGCTTTGGGCTAGGGTTGGGGTCCAGCAGCCGCGGAGTTGCGGCCTGATTTTGCCTGTTTCTCAGCCCACCCTGTCCGAGATGGACCTTTCCCCGATTCCTTGGGCTTCCCTTCAGATTTCAGTGAACACCCGAGGTGGAGAGTGTGCGCTATAAAAATACTGCGTATGGATTTCAAAAGAAAAAATCTTGCAGCAAAATGGATTTATGTTTTAGTTCACTTTCCCACAAACTTTCTGAACTGCCTGGGATGCGGCATTGCTGCCTCCAGACGGTAATCGTTGTACACGCCTGGCAAGACGCGTTCGGATGGTCTCACGGGCACGTCAGCTGTGTCAGCAGCACCTCCCAGGCTGCATGCCCTGTCCCTCACCGCATGATGTCACCACGGCACCCAGCAGTGCCCACAGCGTGGCACACCCTCCCCTGGGGACTGGCGCTGCTCCACCATTGGCCCCGTCACCTCTGTGAGAGCCGCCTGCCTGCAGCCAGCCTTCTGTCGGGGAAGCAGTCCCAGCCCGTTTCTTTCTCCCCGAATACTTCCTTTCCACCCCTCTGTACCCCGGGCCATCGTGGCACCAGCCGTGGGTCCGAGTACGAGGCGGTTGTTCCAGGGACTCAGACGTGAAGGAGTGTGGGTGGTTCTGGGGGCCCACGCCCCCACTGCACCGCACGGTCGAGAGCTTCTCGATGCCATTCCTGCGCTGCACACTCGACCTCACTCCCTGGGAGCAAGTGACAGAACAGTGCGTGGACACGAAGCTGCACGCGCCCCATTGCCAGCGGAGGCAGCCACGAGACGCTGAGCTCGGCAGCCGCGTGCAGAGCTGGAGGGAGAGCCAGGACCGGCCCTGGCTTCCTCCCGGCCCAGGCACAGTGTGGGAGGGACTGCAGACAGCCCTGGGGAGGGTCCCGGTGGAGGCAGCACCAGGCACAGGGAGGCCGAGGTTCCCTCTGCTTCTCTCAGGGGTGGTGAAGAGCTTTGCTCCTGGGCCTGACGCCTCCTAGGAGCCCGAGTGCAGAGCCGGTGAAGGGGTTCGGAGGGAGCAGCCAGCCGCCCTCTCTCCCGGCCTCCGTGGCCTGCTTCCCCTCCTGTGCCCGCTGCCAGCAGCTCCCCAGGTCCCTGTCACGTTGGCCCGCTCCTCCCTGGGAGGTCAAGGGAGGGGACCTGTGTCACTTCTCCACCACCCGCCGCCGTTCTGCTGTGCCCATCTCCTGGCCGCGTGTGCACTGGAAGCTCACGCCTCCCGCTGGGGACTGGGGTTCCTCCTTGGCAGAAGCCGACTGCCGGCTGCCGGCCACCTTAAAACCTGGTTCCCTTTGCCAGCAGCTTGCCTGCCCCGACGGGGGAGGACTCAGGGAGACGGGCCGGGCCCTTTATTGTCACTTGCGCTGTCTGCATAATACTGGCATCAGGGCTCCTCCCCCCACCGAGGGAGGTGCTGCTGATGGCTGGCAGCTGGCACAGGGGTGCCGGCCAGCCGGAGGGCACGCGCGGCTCGCCCGCGCCCGCCTCACACTCGGGAGACACGGCCGTGTGCCAGCGGCAAGTTCCTGCACATCCCCTGCGAGGCCAGCTGCAGAACTGTGCTCCCTGCCAAGGAACCACGCTGCTCCGCTGGGAGTGCACTCTGGCCACCTCCAAGGGCCAAGGGCCCCACACCGCTCAGGGGCTGGCCCTGTCATCCATGGAAACCCCAGAGGAGCCAGCGGGACTTCCCAGGGGACCTGGGACCCTCCGTCCTTGCTCCGTTCTCTCGCCCCCACCCTGGGTCCACGTGTCCATGGGGATTTGTACAACATGGGGTCAGTCCCGCTCAGGCTGCTGAGGCCGAGTGGGCATGGCTAACCTGAGACAGAGAGACTCGAGAGCTGTGAGGCAGCCCATCTGTCTACGGGCGCTGGGGGGCGCTGGAGAGGGGCCGCACACACGTCTGGGGCCTCTGAGCTGCTCCCTGGATCTTTCTGGTCCGGCTGTTCCCTCGCCTCTTCCTGGCACCCTTCACGGCAGATGGGAGTCGCCTTCAGTGCTGCCACCTTTCTCTTCCTCCCAGGCTGGCCGCTGGCCAGGAGCCTGGGAGCCGAGTCCAAGGACAAGCCGCTCACTCCCATGTTAATGCTTTCGCTGTTGGCAGTGAGGATGCGTGGTCACAAAAACCACACCCACCTGAACCAGGGCCAGGTTTCCCACGTTCAGTGCCGCAGGTGTCTGGCCACGTGCACGGCCTGCAGTCAGGAGTCCCGGTGGAGGCAGTGTGGCTCTATGAGGTCTCCTGTCCCCAGAGGGCCCTAGCCTGGGTGCAGACTGATGCGCTGTGTCCACTAGCTGTTCCATCACTGGGCCCGGGAGCTCATCTCTCACAAGCCTCCCCTGTCCGGTGTGCATTCTCTCCCACAGTGCCCCAGGCACTAAACTGTGTTGCGTGCCCCTGTCATGGGCCTGCCCCACTAGTGTAAGCTACGTGGTGGCATTAGCAGTTTTCTACGTATTTGTTTTCAGCCTGCAGATGGGCACCGATGCAGCACAGACCCAGTAAAGGACAAGGCCAGGCTGTGTCTCCGTGTGAGGTTGAAGTGCGCTAGTGTATGCTGTTCCGCTCGCCTCTGTGCAACCTACAAGGCATTTGAGGTCTGTGCACAGCGTGCCCGGCTGGAGCTGGCACCACACCAGCGAGCGGCCTCACCCCTGCCCGAGGAGATGGGGAAATCTCAGCAGGAGTCACGTTCCAGCCTTTCTTCCTTCCATAGAGCCTCCCTGGTGTGGCCCATTGGGGGACACCTGCAGTGGTGCGTGGCCCCTGTGCCGTGGCTCCCCCAACCCCACCTCCCCTCCCAGCCCCAGGCGCGCCCCTCTCCCTTCCGCAGGGACTGGCTTTAGGGAATGTGTTTACTGAGCTCGTCTCACACCACCCAAGAGGTGCAGCATTGCTTTGTGCCGTGTCCCTGCGCTGGTAGCCACCTGCCTTTTGTCACTTACCAGCTGTCTCTGGTCACATCGACTGTCACCGTCTCACCGGCCTGTCTTCAAGTAACCTTTATTTTACGTAACGATGGCCCTCACGGGCAAGAGCGGTGATGCTGGAAATGCGGGTATTGTTCCTTTACGTGAAGTGGTGAAAGGAAGTTCTAGTTAACACGGAAAGAAAAAGAGCGTAAGCTGTAGCTGTGAGGGTCTGCAGCAGTAGCACAGCATAGCACATCGAGGGCGTGGTCTGGAATCCACTGGGGGACCCGGAGTCTGTCCCCCAGCACGGGTGCCGCTGTATGCCCTCTCGGTGTCCACAGAATCCTAATAGTAAGAGGATAAGGCAGTCCTGCGAATCCCGATCTCATCTGGAAGTTCTTCCTGCTGTAAAAGCGTCGTCTCGTCTCTCCCGAGGTGCGTTGATGGTAGACAGTCCACAGGCCTTGTAAGGGCACGGTGGGGCAGGCTTGCCGGTCTGTGTCGTGAGGAGCAAGCACCTGCTCCCGGCCGTCACTGTGCTGCCTGCTTTCCTGGCGACCTGTTCAGGGTGACGTGTGGAGTGTGAGGTGGCAGACTGGGTGTGTGTCGGGGAGGCACCAAGGTCACCGTCTCGGGGACTCGGTGCTGTGGGATTTCCTCCCATAACTGCTAGGACGATGGAGTGATGCGCTTTGGTCCTTGTTCTTTAATCCTCTTATTTCTGCATATTAAGCTTTGCATTGGCCTTTGGATGTCTAACCACGTACGTGGGTGTTCTGTGTGCATGTCTAAACCAGAAGACGTGGGTGCCTCCAAGTTCCGCCCTGTGACTTTCTAATGAGCTTGCTCTGTGCTGACACGGACCTGTTCTCGGGCCTTCCTTGTGAGTACAGTAACGGAGCCTGTCCCGTTATGCCTTGAAGTGTTTGTTTGCAAGGTTTGCCCTACTGACTATAATTATACTATTAAGTTATCAATTAATTACTAAAATTAGAAGTCCCTGGAGATTTAAAGATCAATGCACGCAGAGCTCAAATTACAACTCCTTAATTGGCTTTGGGTTATTTAATTAAACGACCCGATGAAGGTCATTTTCCTACGCATTCCCCCAGGGCAGTTGGCAAAGCTCTGGGAAGCCACACGGGAAGGAAGGAGAGGTCATTTTCTCCTGCATCGGACCAGTGACAGCCATCGTGTTCTCCCAGCAGATGGATTTTCAGTGTGCACACAAGTGTCCCTTTTTAAACACCTTTTACAAAGTTCTCAATACGGAGATAGGATGGGAGAAGGGCACATACACCAGGGCAGAGGCAGAGGCACAGGTGCGGGCTTGCACCACGTTGCCAGGCAGCCGGATGGGCGAGGATGACTGGGAAGTCAGGTGCACGTGAACGCGTGGCCCCTCTGTAGCTCCAGCGTAAGTGACAGAGCAAAGCACCATCTCTGCGAAGCCAGCCCTGTGCTGGGTGGGTGAGTTCCAACGCGCGGCCTCCCGGTCTCGCGCTCTTCCCGTTTTACTCCTGTCACGCGACAGTGGCGTCCAAGCGACACTTACTTGTCAACCGCATGGTGGGCTGACCGCAGATCTGTGTCTGCGTGTGCCTTCGGGTCCCACAGAGCTGGGCATTCCCTGTTATCAGCAGAGCACTGTATTAGCGGTAGTGCCAAGAAAGACAAATTGTTTAGTTCAGGAAACGGAGGGTAAAATTACTTTTTTTTTAAAGATTTATTAATTTATTTGAAAGAGTTACACAGAGAGAGGAGAGGCAGAGAGAGGGAGGTCTTCCATTCGATGGTTCACTCCCCAATTGGCCGCAACAGCTGGAGATGAAGCCAGGAGCCAGGAGCCTCCTCTGGGTCTCCCACATGGATGCAGGGGCCCAAGGCCTTGGGCCGTCGTCTACTACTTTCTCAGGCCATAGCAGAGAGCTGGATCGGAAGTGGAGCAGCCAGGACTAGAACCGGTGCCCACATGAGATGCCAGCACTTGAGGCCAGGGCATTAACCCACTGTGCCACAGTACCGGCCCCGGTAGAATCACCTTTGATTTTTGTAGGTCGGTGCTGACGGTGCCTGTGTGAGGTTCCCCTGCAGCTAGAAGTCAGGCATCAAAATCTTTTTTTTTTTTTTTAATGTCAAGAGTCAAGAGAACTTCTTTCTGAATCCATGTAAATTTAAGTTCTCTTAAGGCACGAGCATCTTGAGTTCTCCAAAATCGTGTACGTTTTTTGATAAATATCCTGTCATGACTTTGTTTTACCAGCTAAGAACCCTTTTTTTTTTTTTTAAAGATTCATTTATTTATTTGAGAGGCAGAGTTACAGAGAGAGAAAGAGACAGAGAGAGAGGTCTGCCATTCACTGGTTCACTCCCCAAATGGCTGCAACAGCCAGAGCTGAGCTGATCCTAAGCCAAGAGCCAGGAGCTTCTTCCGGGTCTCCCACATGGGTGCAGGGGCCCAAGGCCTTGGGCCATCTTCTACTGCTTTCCCAGGCCATAGCAGAGAGCTGGATCGGCAGTGGAGCAGCCGGGACTAGAACCAGCGCCCATATGGGATGCCGGCACTGCAGGCAGAAGCTTCACCTACTACGCCACAGTGCCGGCCCCTCCAGCTAAGACAGAATAGAGGTTAGGGGCCGAGCACTCCCGCACCAAGGGTACTCCTCTGAACTGCGTCTTAGAGGCTGGTGTATGTGGTGCAGACCCCCACCAGCCCCCTGTTTTCACTGCTGTCCCCCAAGGCCTTCTGGAACATTCAGCCACTGCCCTGAGGTGGCCTGTACACCTGGCTTGGTCTGTCGCTGGGGAAGACAGCGGGTCCCGGGGGCTCGACAGCACCCAGCTGCAGTTGTGGCCTCCCAGGCCCACCCAGGTGATGCTGAGGGCACCCCAGGACGAGGCTGTGCTTTTCCTGGAATTCTGCAAGAGCCGGGGACGTCTCTGCAAGGGGCGGGAGATGGCTTCAGCCTGCCGGCACCTCAGCCTTCACAGCAAACCAGACGACGGCCCGGCAGTGAGCGGCGTGACGCTTGTGGGAGTCAGAATTCTGCATGCTGGGTCAGCAGACCCCTGAAACAGCAGACAGAGGCAGAGTCAAAGGAAACAAGGCAGAAATCCTGCCGTTTGGCCAGAACACGGCTCTGCGTGCAGCGTTACATCTCCAGGGGCTGAAGGGGCTGGGGCAGACAGACGGCCGCGCGGGGCTGCGTTCACGCTGTGCCATCTTTTCCCCACAGTGTACTGCTGTGCGTCATTCCCCACTCATGCCAAGCGCGTCTGACGGATGACCTCCGACCTCCGACCTGCCCTGTGTCTCTGCTGTCTTCCTTCCACCTTTTGGGGCAGAGGGGCCCCTGTGCACCTGTGGTTCACTTTCCTCGGAATTTACACATAAATGCATAAGTGACCGAGACCCTTGGCTGAGGTTCCTGCTTGCGTGCGGGAGGTGAAGATTCGGGGCTAAGCTGGGTTTTCAGCCTCCGCCCGCCTGCACTGCCGCCCCTGGCTCTGTGGGGAGCCCTGCTTCCCTTTGGCCCACTGGGAAGCCGCTTTCTTCTACTTCATATCCTGTGCTGTTCCCCAGTTTCCTTCCACACGTTGGCTGTGTGGCCATTTTGCACAGAACTGAATGTCCCCTCCACCTGGTGAAGCTAAGTGCAGGGGCCGCTGGGGGAGTTGCCACCTGGGAGCGACCGTGCAGCGGGGTGGGTGCGACCCTGCGTTCCGTGCTTCTCTGGTCCTCCTGTGACTGTGTCCGCGCCAGTTCACAGGACGGAAGGCAGGGAGCCGGGAGGTGTCTCTGCAGCCACTGAGTCCTGACTCCATGCCTGGAACTATGTGTCCCCAAGCCCCTCCCGCAGCCCCACTGCCTGCAGTGCACAGTTCTGTCCCGAGGGCCTGGCTCGTGCTGGGTGCACACAGTTCTGTTCCGAGGGCCTGGCTCGTGCTGGGTGCGTACAGTTCTGTCCCGAGGGCCCGGCTCATGCTGGGTGCGCGCAGTTCTGTCCCGAGGGCCCGGCTCGTGCTGGGTGCACTCAGTTCTGTCCCGAGGGCCTGGCTTGTGCTGGGTGCACTCAGTTCTGTCCCGAGGGCCTGGCTCGTGCTGGGTGCACTCAGTTCTGTCCCGAGGGCCCGGCTTGTGCTGGGTGCACTCAGTTCTGTCCCGAGGGCCTGGCTTGTGCTGGGTGCACACAGTTCTGTCCCGAGGACCCCAGCTTGTGCTGGGTACACTCAGTTCTGTCCCGAGGGCCTGGCTCGTGCTGGGTGCACTCAGTTCTGTCCCGAGGGCCTGGCTCGTGCTGGGTGCACTCAGTTCTGTCCCGAGGGCCTGGCTCGTGCTGGGTGCACGCAGTTCTGTCCCGAGGGCCCGGCTTGTGCTGGGTGCACTCAGTTCTGTCCTGAGGGCCTGGCTTGTGCTGGGTGCACGCAGTTCTGTCCTGAGGGCCTGGCTCGTGCTGGGTGCATGCCGTGGTAAGGCTGCCGATGGTGAGTGGCAGCCACCATGTGCACATGTACATGGCCGGCCTTCCTTGAGTACGGGACCCTCTGGTCTCAAGGAAAGTGACCCAGTGAATGAGAGTCGAGCAGCCCCTAATCACGGCGAGTGGGTCGAGGGGAGAAAGGTAGCTCTTCTCTCTCTCCTTGTGCCAAGATACATGTGACCCATCAAGGCCCATCAGGGTTCTCACTGAAAGATTTTTTTTTTAAATATTATTGCTCAAAGAAAGAAAATGATGCCTTACTAATAAGACTGCTGTCTCATTAATCCCCATGAAAACATTAGCTGTGCCTAATGTGGCAACTGTCTCAGCTGATCTAGGTGCTAATCATAAAGAAGTGCAAGCTAGAGCCTCCCAGAGCCCACTTAGGGCCACGTGTCCGTGAGAACACAGTTACAGAAATTACTCACAAGGAGACAGAAGCAGTTAGAAAGTGCCTCTTTTGCATTGCAATAAAGGACTTTTACCTGATGAGTAGCAGCCATTTGACCTCAGTCGTTCAGTGGAGAAGTCTGGACGAGAAAAGGGACTGTTGACCTGGACGTCGGGAAGGCCCGAGTGTGACGACAGCGGTCAGCACTTCTGTGGGAGCTGCAGCCTCACTCCTGGGCTGCCTCGACTTCGTGATCAGAGAGCCAGCAAGTGCATTGCCAAGACACATCAAGCTCTGGTAAACAGTGGAGGGCGTGGCCATGGAAGCAGGGAAAAGCCCACACTCGACAGAGCTGGCTCAGCCGACACAGGAAATGCAGTCTTCGGGGTCTCCGGTCTCCCTGCCCGTGTTCCCAGGACACGCGGCAGCACCTTTCTGATCTCTGTGTGGGGTCACCCCGATGGTCGAGTAGACTTCAGAGCCGTCGGGTGAGATCTGCAATTCTGCAGACGTGTGTATGCTGTGGCCCTGGGCTCACCAGCCCTAGAACCTTCTAAGAGTAACATGCAATCATGAGATGAGACAGTTTTTCCCAAAGCGCTTTGAGGTTCTCGTTCCTGGCTCAACTCAGAGCCCAGCTCTTGCTACCCAGCCCGCTGTATCTCGTTAGGAGCCAACTCTGTTCCGTTTCCCCACGCTGTCACCCAGGCTGCCCACAAAAGGCACTAATCAGGCAGGCCTGGGACAGGCCTGTCCCTACACAAGGTCACAGAACAAGGGGTCTCCTTGGGGGTCCAGGTTTTATATTAAACACTCAGGTGGAAGAGCAAGCCGTGCTTGGCCGAAGTTCCTTCCACCCTGGTTACTGTGCCGGCCGCGGATGGTGGACCAGGCTGGACCACACTGCAGCCAGGGGCACGTGGTGCTCTTTGCCTTCTCACTCCACCAGCACTTTGGGCTTTTCCGTAGGAAGGGTCTGAAGCCGCTTACCTGTGAGTAAGTGCTCCTGGTTCTAGACCTGAGACACTCGGGAACTTTCTTAGGACTGTTTGCTCCCCGGTGATCGCTTTAGCCTGTGGTAGCCACACCGCATCCGTGTTTTCACATTAATGAGGTTCCGGAACACGGGACTGTTTGTTCACGACTCCCATAGCTTGTGTGCTGTCACGGAATGTGGAGCAGAAGAAGAACTCAGAACCGGTCCCCTCCTCCGCTGTCCCCCGTCCCCTCCTCCCCGGCCCCGGTCCCCTCCTCCCCCCTCCTCCCCCTGCCCCGGTCCCCTCCTCCCCCGCCCCCAGTCCCCTCCTCCCCCGCCCCCTTGGTGTCACAGCGACAGGCCACCTGCAGACAGGGTTCCGGCCTCTGTGAAAGGCTCAGCGTTCTCTGTGTTTTCCAGTTTTGTGGCTCGTTTGTCACCAACGGCAGCACATAACTGCGCCCCCCCCCCCCCCCGCGCGACACTCCGCGGGAAATTGGGTAACTCCAGCTTGTTACTCCGGGCTTTGGTTTTTACCCCCTACGGCGGGGGGGGACCCACTTCCCCCCCCCAAAGAGGGGGCCTTCGTGTCCCAAGCGGGGAGGGTTGGGGATATGCCAGTGCACCTGCCCGTGCTCTTCAGTGGAGAAGCAAAAAAGGGCTTGAGAGCCGCCGAGCATCTTGGGATGGGGAGCCGTGCCCGGGGCGGGGGAGTCTGCTAGGGTGTGAGGGGCGAGTGCCCCAGACGCTCGGCCCTGCCCGGTGGACTGGCCAGTACGCTGCGCTCTCCTGCTGGGTGTGGACGGGGGCGGGGTTGACAGTGATTCTGCCCCAGCTCTTGTGTGTGAACCACAGAGCTCCTGAGAATCGGAACACAGACCCCCGAGTCCTGAACCCAGGAGAGACTGCGGCCGCCGGCTCGGCCTCCGCGCCCACAGACACAGCCCCTCCACCAGGCCGCCGCCGGCGTTGGAAGTTAGGCCACACCTGACACCCAGGTGCCTCCCTGAACAGGTGCTGGCTCCCCTCCCTCCAAGCTTGTACTGGGCGGCCCGCTCCCTGCACGCAGGCCCCAGAGCCCGTTTTCCTGGAGCCACTGTGTGTCTGGGAAGGGAACTGCAGGGAGTGTAGTTACGGCTCTGGGTGGACACCCAAGCGAGCGCACACCTGGAGGGCTGCGGGTTCCGCCAGCGGGGACACAGCTCTGTGCACCTGTGGGTTGTCCCGCCCCTCTTGCCCTCCTCTCTCGCTGCTGGGGGCTCTGCCTACGCCCTGCAGCTTGATTGGCAGCCCCTGTATTCTGCCACTCAGGCCTCATTCAAACAGGCAGAGCAGGACACTGGAACAGCACAGGGCACTGGTAAGGTTGAGGGTCAAGTTCAAGAAGCCTGAACTGGTGCTGTCGTCACAAATGGCCTATAGGGGGAGTCTTTGGGTTCAGTGACAGAAATATGAAGTACGAAGATTCAGGTTCAGGGAATGTAAAACAATAGTGAATTTTTAAAAATAATAACTTGGAGAGAAAGTGAGCTCCCTTTGCTGGTTCACTCCCCCAGATGCCTACCACAAGCAGGGCTGGGCCAGGCTGAAGCTGGAAGGCAGGTGCCCGATCCAGTCTCCCAGTGGGTGGCAGGGACTCAGCTACTGCGGCCTTGCCCTGCTGCCTCCCAAGGTGCACAACCACGCTTGACCCGCAGGACGTGGGCTTCCCAGCCAGCACCCCGCCTGCTAGGCCAGATCCTCGCCCGGTGACTATCTTACACCGAACTTTTTGTCCCTAATTGCAGGAGAGTAAGACTCCATTTAATATTGCAAGCTGTGGTGTAGGGGGAACATTGATGGGATTACCATGTTGTAGATTCTGTTTGTCAACTTTTTTTTTTTTTTGACAGGCAGAGTGGACAGTGAGAGAGAGAGACAGAGAGAAAGGTCTTCCTTTGCCGTTAGTTCACCCTCCAATGGCCGCCGCGGCCGGCGCACTGCGCTGATCCGATGGCAGGAGCCAGGTACTTCTCCTGGTCTCCCATGGCGTGCAGGCCCCAAGCACCTGGGCCATCCTCCACTGCACTCCCTGACCACAGCAGAGAGCTGGCCTGGAAGAGGGGCAACCAGGACAGAATCCGGCGCCCCGACCGGGACTAGAACCTGGTGTGCAGGCACCGCAAGTGGAGGATTAGCCTAATGAGCCGCGGCGCCGGCCTACTTGATAAGTTTTGACATTGCAAATACCAATGATGCCAACACCTAGAGCAAGACAATGAACACGCCTGTCTCCCCCCTACCCCTTGTCATCACCTTCATCTTGTGTGTCTGCACACAAGTAAAACCTCACACACACAACTCTGTGTGACCTTGTGACAGCACTGTTACTCTTTCATTTTAGTTTGACTTGCTTATTAGAGAAGCAGAGAGAGAGATCTTTCCATCTGCTGGTCACTCCCAAGATGGTTGAAGCCAGGAGCCAGGAGCTTCTTCCAGGCCTCCCACCTGGGTGCAGGGGCCCAAGCACTGGGGCCATCTTCTGCTTTCCCAGGCCACAGCAGGGAGCTGGATGGGAAGTGGAGCAGCCGGGACTGGGACCGGCGCCCACATGGGATGTCAGAGTCACGGGCGGCAGCTTAACCTGCTGCGCCACAGCAGCCCCAGCACTGCGAGTCTAGTGGGGAAAATTCCAAACTGGGTTTAAGAACAGTTCTAACAGTGAGAGGTCAGAGTTCAGAAAGCTGATCAGAAGACTAGAAAGCAGGAGCGCTGCGTGCTTGAATCCAGGCCTGGTGAAGCGGAGAGCGTGCTGAGGGGACGAGGCCCGGCCGCAGAGACTTGTTTGGGGTTGAACACGCAGGTGCCCCTGAAGGCTGCGTCAGTTTCTCCCGATGAGCGGGCGCAGGCTTGGCCGGCTCTAAGTCGGGGAGAGCAGGCCCACCCCTCCCCTGCTGCCCTGGCCTGGCTCCAGCTGCCCACGGCGGGAGTGGCAGGCGCGAGCAGCGGGCTGGACGCCCAGGGCAGCAGGTGGCTGAAGGGATGGCTTCTCTAAGGAGGTGGGGCCTCTGCAGCAGCAGGCAGCCCGCCTCACTCACAGTCACTGCAGGTGTCCATGGGGTGTGGTGTGATGGCACACCTGTGAGCATCCCCCCCGCAGATCTCCACTGTCAACCACCAGGGGGAGCCCTGGCGACCTGGCCGATAGAGCGGCTGTGGGAGGAGTGAGCCTTGGGCTGGGTGTGTATGCCTGCATTCCCCCATGACGGCCACAGAGAAAGCAGCCTCCAGGGCCTGCACCCCCGGGGCTGGGCCCACTGCTTACAGACGGGAAAGGGAGGTCGGAAGCATCGAGGGATTTGCCTGACATTACAGGGAGGGGGGCTGTGCCCCAACCGGCAGGCACCCCACCCCTTGCTGTTCGTGTGAACAGTGGGCCTAAAACAGGATATGTGTGCGCACTCACACCAGCACATGTGTGCAGACGTGACTGGTAAGTGCAAGGGGGGTAGATACATATGTTAGCTCCACTGCCGCACTCTCAGTGCACACGTACAAACGCATATGCATGTGTGTGCCTGGGGTGCGTGCACCTGAGATGCAGAAATGCTCATGCCTCCCATGGCACAACATGTGTATGTACACAGTGCACACATTCACATGTAGAAGTTCCACCACATACACATGCGTGTGTGCACACATGCAACCTGCCTACATGTGTATGTGCACACTGCAAACATGCATGGGTACACACTGTCATTGCATTGATTTGCTGCTGTGTGCAGACATGAGGTTAGTTACAATGTACCACTGGAAAGGGAGTTAACATGGAAGCAGTTGTCCTCTCTGTCTGCAAGGGCAGAGATGTGCCTCCACTGTCCTGGTGAGCTCCAGTCCCTTCACCGGTACTCGTCTTTGAACGTAAGCCTGCTGCCCACCCTTCAGGCTGTTTACTAGCCAGAAAGGACATGTGCAGAGGTGGCCAGGCTTGGCTGCACACCAGCTGCACGGTGGGGTCGCACAAAGTCTCCAGCCAGAGGGGCAGGTCCTCAGTCTGCATGGCTCCCCTGGTGTGGAGAGAGCGAAAGCAGGCGATGACAGTGGCTGAAATACCCCCCAACCCATGGATTAACCCTTTCGTCTTTACCACAACTGTAGGTCATTGTTGTCTCTGCCCTTGTGTTACAAATAAGATCTCTGTGCAGCACAGATGATAAGAAACTCGTCTTAGGACAAAGGAGGTCAACACTTCAGCCAGGCTCCACCCTTGCCAGGCTGTCCTGGGCGCTGGCTTCTCCCTCTGATGTGCCGCAGGTTTGGACTTGCACGCCAGTGTCAGGAAACAGCCCTGTGTGTGACAACCGGGGTCTGCATGGCTGCACCTGGCTGATGCGACAGCCGAGACGGGGTGGTTCCTGCTGTGCCAAGCAGAGACACAGAGCACATCCAGGCTGTGACTCTGTGCCCGGGCCCCCAGCTCTGCAGCCAGCGGCCACAGCTGTGGTGGCCTTGCCCCAGGTGTGTGTGGCCCTCTTGCCAGTGTGCATCCTCTGTCTGCAAGAACCTTGAATTCCACCCTTGCCCAGTTCACACAGGAGCTGCTGCTCTGCTCTGACCCCTGCACTTGTCCCTGAGCGCCCCCTCCCAGGCAGGGCCTGGCTGACAACCCACGGCCCGACGTCCACTGGTGACGAGTGTGGGCTGCAGCTTTCGGCACCATCCTCAACTCATGCACGCATTTGCCCCCTCATTTCCTGCACTCCTCTCCACCTGGCTTGGATCTGAGCATCTGTGAACATGTGTGCACACTTGTGCACACCCACACACCCGCTCAGCTCCTCTGGCCTGCCAGACTGGAGCCTGTTCCTGATGGGCTGTGTGTTTCCTCCCGTCCCGGTGCCTGTGTTTGAGCCAGTGAGGATCTCTGTTCACAGTTCCATTTCTCAGGGCATTGAAGACAGCCTGGTGCCTTTGAGGTCTCCTGAGCCGAGTGCCCTGCACCCTCGCCCATCTCAGTGGCCTCTGAGCTGTGGGTACTCCATGGGGCAAGTCTGGCAGTCCCGAGGCTGCTTTGCCGACCATCTGCACCCTGGAACTGTCCAGGGCTGCCATGGTGCCAGGTGCCAAGGCCCAGATGGGGACCCAGTGCCAGTCTGGTATGACGGCGGAGACTGGGGGCCCAGGGCTACGTCTTGCATGTGCTGAGCTGTGTCCCTGTGGTCCCCTCTCCCCCCAGCCCCACTGAGCAGCGAATGCCCATGCTTCCCTATGCCAGCACAAAAGTAACACCACAGTGTCACGTGGACACCATCGAGCCATGTTGGCCACTGCAGAGAAGCCACCAGCACCAGTGGGGAGTGCTCCCCCGTCTCAGCTCGCGGGGACACTAAGGGGCTGGGAAAGCCTCCATCCTCGCCCGGAAGTCGGGGTCCGAGCGAGGCCCAGGTCCGGAGGGTTTGGAGAGTTGGCACACCCAGTTCACTTACACTGCTCAGGTGCAAAGGAGATGAGAGAGGGAGAGACAGGAAGGGGTGAAGAGGAGGGACAGAAAGGGAGGTGAGTGTGCTGCCGCCCCTGCCCAAACAGCCTGTGGGGTTTGCCGACCCTTGCAGGCATCGAGGGTGGCCCCGCTCCACGTGTGGGGACCTCACCTTCCCCGGAAGTGCCGCCCTCACTCGGAGATGCTCTGCCCGAGCTCCCCGGAGGCACTGGGTTGGCTGCAGACGTGCTCCGTGGCCTGGGGGTGGCCCAGTGCGCCAGGGCCCGGGAGGTGTGGCCTGCACAGGACGAGGGCCTGTGTTCGCTGAGGCCCCTGAGGGCAACGCCGGCTTGAGGCAGGGGCGGGGGTGCCACAGAGCCCACCCCGTGGTGAGGCTTCAGCGGCCGCCCCAGATGCCTGGTCCCATCCCGCGCAGGCAGTGAGGCGAGGCCGGGCCACCTGGGCGCTGGGAGGCAGAGCGGGGACAGCCCCAGACCGCTCCGGACTGCGGGGCCTCCGGAGCGCTTCCGGATGGGGTGCCACTGCCTGCTGGGCCAGGGAAGAGGCAGAAGTCCACGCCACACTTCGCCTACTCCAGTGCCTTGCCAGGCCTGGTCACGCCGCGCCCCGCCTGCACCCCCAGCGCCTGACCCGCACCCCTGGTGCACCATGCTGCCCAAGCCCGCACTGCCCGCACCCCCACCCTGGCGCTGCCTACACCCGCACTGTGAGGAGCACACCTGCTCTGGGGAGGAGCAGAGCACATGGTCGGTGACCCGTGGTCCTTTGCGTGGAAGCGAAGGCCGCGGGGGTGGGGGTCGTGACCAGGGCCGCTGAGTACGCACAGGTCTGTGAGCCATGGAGCAGCAGCCGGGGTCCCCTGCACGCTCATGTCTCGTCTCAGGTTTGTCCCAGCTGACTTCTTGTTTTGGGTGTATTTCGCATGCTGGGGACCTGGCTGGCTTGTTCTTAGGTGTCACTTCCCCACTCTCTCAGAGGACTCTAACATGGTCCCTCTGTCCGGAGCCTTGCGGAAGGCTCTGGAAGCCAGTTCCCATGAAAGGGAGGCAGGTCTCGAGCGCTGGGTGGGAAGTGGGAGCTGCTACTTAGGAGACGGGAATACCCCCTGCCCACAAGGGGCCCGATGACTTTCAGAGAGGGTTTTAGGCAGCCTGTTGAATGCAATTTAAATTATTCACAGCTAGAAAACTTACACAAACTTTTATTTTAAATGCTTAGAAATGCTAGTGGTATTTTAAAAACTGAAGTTCCTAAAATGGCTGAAAACAAACACGAGGTGGGCTGGGAAATTCATGTGGTGGGGAGGGGAGTTTGGGGAAGGGAAAGTGCCGACCCCACTGGACCTGCCCAGCACGCAGGGAGGGGTCAGGGAGGACCCTGGGTAGGAAGGTGGGGTAGAGTGCCCAGATGAAAGGGGACCTTTTATAGAGAGACACCGAGAAGTGCGGCAGCCAGGTATCACCCGACAGGCTCTACGGAGCCACAGCAGTCCTAGTCTGCTCAGGTTCTGTCAGACTGAGATGAGGAGCTGCATACGGAAGCCCGGTGCACGTGGGCCACGTGCCTGTCCTCAAGGTGCTAATGATAAAAAGGGGGATCCGAAGGAATCAGCCCAGGAGAGGGGCAGCGTCCCTTAGTGGCCCAGGACACCTTTGCGCGTGCCAGACCTAAGTCATTGCCAACCAGGTCACATCCCTTGGCGACTGGGCAAGTCCCAGAGCATCCAGCTGCCATCCAGGTCCTGGGCTAAATGAAATCCACGAGCTTCAATGCGCTGGGGAGAGGCAGCGGCAGTGGCTTCCGTCTGGCCGGAGGGGCTGCTGTCCGCCGCCCCCTTGTCTGTTCCCACCAAGAAGTGAAGCCCCTGGATAGCAGAGGCCCGGTGCCTCTCCTTGAAGAACGGCTCCACGTGGGGCGAGATCCTCGGACGAGTGCAGCCACGGGACGCGGGGGCAGACTTAAATGCAGGTGTTCTCAGTCCGGGTCGTGGAACGTTTTCCTGGTGCTCTCGGCTGACGGGGTTTTTGTGATCCTGAATGGGCTTGCCCCTTCCGTGAACCCGGCGGGTCGTTTCTGTGCTGTGTAGCCTCGGGCGTAGGTGAAATGATTCACTGGCTGCGATGCTTTTGTACTTTGCCAAGTAGGAAGAACCACGCGCACGCCTCCAGGGGCACGTGGACCAGATAAGGAGGAAGGCCGGTGCTGCCCTTCTGAGCAGCCACTGCCGCTGTCCAGATTCGGCTTCCATTTGTAGCTTGCACGGATCAGTGCTGAGCTGAGCTGGCCCACAGTCTCAAGTCTCACTCAACCCCATGACGTCAGCACAGAGTAGCTGTGAGGTCAGCAGAGGCGGGGCTATGATGTCAGCACAGAGGAGCTGTGAGGGCAGCAGAGGCGGGGCTATGACATCACAGAGGAGCTGTGAGGTCAGCAGAGGTGGGGCTATGACATCACAGAGGAGCTGTGAGGTCAGCAGAGGCGGGGCTATGATGTCAGCACAGAGGTGGAGCCATGAGGGCAGCAGAGGCGGGGCTATGACATCATCGCAGAGGAGCTGTGAGGGTGACAGAGGCGGGGCTATGACGTCAGCACAGGTGGAGCCATGAGGTCAGCTGAGGCGGGGCTATGACATCAGTGCAGAGGAGCTGTGAGGTCAGCGGGGCGGGGCCATAACGTCAACACAGAGGAGCTGTGAGGTCAGCAGGGGCGGGGCTATGATGTCAACACAGAGGAGCTGTGAGGTCAGCAGAAGTGGGGCTATGACGTCAGCACAGAGGAGCTGTGAGGGCAACAGAAGCGGGGCTATGACATCAGCACAGAGGAGCTGTGAGGGCAGCAGAGGCGGGGCTATGACATCAGCACAGAGGTGGAGCCATGAGGTCAGCAGAAGTGGGGCTATGACGTCAGCACAGAGGAGCTGTGAGGTCAGCAGAGGCAGGGTTATGACATCATCGCAGAGGAGCTGTGAGGGTGACAGAGGCGGGGCTATGACGTCAGCACAGAGGAGCTGTGAGGTCAGCAGAGGTGGGGCCGCACAGTCAGTCGTGCCAAGGAGGAATTTTAGATGCCCTGGAAACAAAGTGTAGCCTCAGTTTCTGAGTGCCTGAGTGTACCATCCACCTGAGTCGCTGTTGTGGCTATCAGGAAAACTGACCACTGGGTCCAAATGGGTTCCTGTCCCTGCCCCCATGGACTCGCTGTCTGTGCGTGGACCTGTAGGCTCCCCCAGGGATGCCATTCCCTGAAGGGTGACACTCAGGTGAGCCCGAGGAGGCCAGCCCTGCTGACACCCAAACCAGCGGGCAATGTGCCAGCGCGTGAGAGAGGACACGCACCCGTCGGAGGGGTTAGCTCTACTGGAGGTGGAGTTAGGATCTAGATCCCAACCGTAAAGTGAGCGCTGGTAGTCAGTGCCTCGGACAGTTTCAGTGGAGAAGCACATAAAGCAAGAACGGCCGCTGTTGAGAAGGAATTCAACGTCAGAACATTCTCTGAGACACACGTGCTCAGGAACACACACGTGGAGACACATTTTGGTAGAAGCTCCGATATCCACAGGTGAGAGGGGAGGTCTCACTGGTCCTAGGGATAGGCGACACCCTCGCCCCACCCTTACTGTTGGGGTACGTCTGAGAAACGGCTCTTTCAGTCACCACACAGACACCCTGGAGCCACGCACACAAGGTGGGCGGAGAGGACCGGTCACTCATCGCAGCTTGTGGTGCCTGGAGATGCAGGAAGCCAAGTGTGTGGGCACTGGAGAGCCGAGGCAGCATCTCCTGGGTACAGCAAACACCTCAGCCGGCACCTCACTGGCTGAGCATCTTGGCCAGGAATACCAGTGTGCCTAATGGCAGGTGCTGTTCGTTCATATGACGGGCAGCTGGCAGGTCTGCCCACACTGGCGTCATGCACACACATGCGTGCCACATTGCTCTGTGCTTCTGCGCCGGCGTCATGCACACACATGTGTGCTTCATCACTCTGTGCTTCCACACCGGCATCATGCACACACATGCGTGCCGCATCGCTCTGTGCTTCCGCACCGGCGTCATGCACACACATGTGTGCTTCATCACTCTGTGCTTCCACACCAGCGTCATGCACACACATGCGTGCCGCATTGCTCTGTGCTTCTGCGCCGACGTCATGCACACACACACACGCTGCATCGCTCTGTGCTTCCACACCAGCGTCACGCACACACACGCTGCATCGCTCTGTGCTTCCGCACCAGCATCACGCACACACATGCATGCCGCATCGTTCTGTGCTTCCACACTGGCGTCACGCACACACATGCGCCGCATCGCTCTGTGCTTTGCGATGGCTATGACTGCGCTGCCCCGTAAGCCTTTTCCCCTCCCCACCATTCTCACGGAGCCCTCGTGCACCTGCTGTTGCCAGCTGAAATGGTGCACAGTGCACGGCTGTGGTAGGAAACAAAGCACAGTGGCATTCGGGTTCTTCCCTGTGAGCAGCTGAGAACAGTCCTGAGGCACAAGCATCCCCGCTAGAATCTGGCTTGGCTTTGTCCCCACCCGTGGTCGAGGAGGAGGAGGAGGAGGCGCCAGCCTCCAGCTGGGAGCTCTGAGACTGTCCCGAGGTCACAACATGTGCAAGTGCACAGTCCAGGAGGGTCCCCTGTGCTCTGAGGGCTATGGAAGATGGAACCAGAAGATGAATTCAGGGTTGCGGGTGTGACTGGCCGTGTAGACGCCTCACCCCACGTGGGAGCTGGTTCCTTTCCCAGCTCTGGCTCCTGACTCTGCGTCCTGCTGATGCACTTTCTGGTAGGCAGACGATGGCTGATATTGCTGGGTCCCTGCCACCCATCTGGGGGACCTGGATTGCTTTGCTGGCTCGTGGCTTCAGCCCTAGTCCAGCCCTGACCACTGTGGGCATTTGGGGAGTGAACCAGCAGATGGAAGCTCTCTGTTTGCCTCTTTCTCTGCCTCTCACATTAATTAGTTAACTAATTAATTTTAAAGACAAGTTTATTTTGATGGAAACATTTTTGAAATCCATGCCGATTTTCATAATAAACATTTTCCACTGATTTTTGTGGACCTCCTCATAGTTTTCAAACCATGCTTCCTACAACAGAAACACCACAGAGAAAAATAAATGTGAAAAATGAGGGAAATTGATTAGACAGGACTCTTTAGTCCCAAGAAATCGAAAGATGCCTTACATTAATCAAGTGAGATGAGTTTCTGTGGTGTCTAGCTCACATGCGTAGGGTCCTTGTAATCTATCTTTCCACTGATTTTTTGAAATACCCTCGCAATTGGGAATCCCAAGACGTGAATCTGTTATGGGCATGACAGGAGCCATGAGCTGTGAAACTGTGCCATTTATTCACACTTATTCCAGCCAATGAGACCATCTTCCCCATAGCTGTGGAGGAGAAGTCTGGAGAAGACGTTGATTGGCCCAGCCTAGGATTCCTGCGTGTAACTGGACCAATCACCATGTAAATGTATTCAGATTGACAGGGCTTTGCTCCTTCTGGGGCACATCCACTGTGGCTCACCCAGATAGTAGAAACTGATGACCCAGGGCCAGTGGGGTAGCAGAATTTCCTGTCCAGGCATAAAGATTCAGAGCTAGAGTTACGGTGCAGATGCAGAGAAACGGGTGACAGGCACCAGTACTTAGGGAACCCCGCTCTGTGTTCCGGCCCATTAAGTTGGCCAGCCTTCATCTCAGCTCCAGAGCGGGGCAGTGCTGGGCCACCAACTGGTTGTGCTGTTGGCTCCACTGTGCGGTGTCCTTGAGTGGCCAAGTCCAGTTTGGGGACGCGCGTTCACGTAGAAGCTAAGCAGTGCTCAGCAGGCGCCAGGCTGCTTCCAGAGGGTTGCACAAGTGACTTCGCTTTGAGGAAGCCGTGCATGAGGGCTCATTTAGAGGGAGGGGGCAGCAAAGCCTGGGGTTGCCATGCTGCTGGCCGCATCTTCAAAGGCTCACCCCAAACCCACACTGTTCTCCATGCCTTTCCTCTGCACCTTTGCACGCGTGTGTGCACGCAGTCGTGTGCACCAGATCAGGCGCCAGCACCTTGTCCTGGTTCCCGCGCTGCCTCGTGTGCCTGTCACCGCCAGCCTTTGACCCAATATCCTGCCACCTGCCAGAGCCATGTCTTGGAAGATCCAGCTCCGTGGTCACCTGCCTGTCTCCCCTGCTTAGAACGAATAGCCCCACTAGGTATCCCTGGCGCAGGCTGGGCGGAACCCACCAGCCAGCTCTTAGCTGGACTGAGATGCTCTGCGTGTGTTGGCGGGGTCCAGCCGGGTGTGCACACCCCAGGAGAACACCAGGAGTTTCCAGGTGGTCTGCCTCTCTAACAGAAGTGCTTGCAAACCTCCTGTGGCCAGCTTGGTCCCAGGCACCTCCCCACCAGGAAAGCCTTGGGCACACTTCCCTGAGGCACACAGCACCAAGGACAAATGGGGACACTGGCCTGAGGCGGGAGGGTAAACAGCCCTGGTGTCAGAGCCGCAAATCCTGCGGAGCCTCAGGTGGGTTTTCCAGGTTTTCTTTCTCACCAAATGGACAAAAGACCTTGTCAGGTTACAGATCAGTAACCATAACTTGGGGGCAGACCCATGAAGTTGCTGTTGGCCTGGAGCAGAGGGTGAATTTGAAAACCTGAGCAGGAGGTTGCAGCCGTAACAGAGCCCCTCTTGCCCTCTGCTCACTGGTGTTTTTCCCATGTTGTATCTTCCGAGAGTGAACGGCATGAATTGGGTTTGTGCCAAGCCCGCCTCATTCTAGCAATAACAAGTAATATAGTCATTTGGAAGGGATTAGTTGGGAAAAAAACCAATTAGCTCATTATAGAATACATTTCCTATGACATTTTACCACTTTGTTTAGCAACTGTCTAAATTTCTAGAATATTTATGTGGTTTTTGCTAGCTGCTAATTACTGCAATGACAGTTAAGTATACATAAAAGTAATTTAATGCTACAACCTATGGTAAGAGGAAAAATTAAAATTTTTAAATTCAATTTAAAAATTTAATTAAATTTAAAAATTTTCAATCATGTTGAAGTTATTCTTCACATCTGAGCTGGAGAATCTGTCAAGCCGTCTTAGTTACAACGGCACCTGAAGCGTGGGGTTGCATAATTCGGGTGGACAGTGGTGGAGTTATATTTCTACATAGGCTCTGTGGCTATTCATTGGAAAGAAGAATCTAATGATGAATTTATATTAGGTTTCCACTGAAGATGAAGTAAATGCATTTACTCACATTTGTAAAACCCTGCAGTGATAACGTTCTAGCCCATAAATGAAGGAGCAGATTTGCCGTTGATCACCTGGAAGACCTGGCCCCTGAGGGCCGCCTGACGGTGGCAGGAAGGGGGATGGCGATGCTGACTCCTTCTCAGACTTCTGCTTGGCCAACAGCCAGTTTTAGCAAGAGTGCTGCCTCCGACATTCTGATCTGTGCTTTCCATGATAGAACATTCTAGATCCAGAAGGGATTTTGATCGTTTCTGGAAGAACTTGCTTCTTTTATAGAAAGGGGAAAGGGTTGTCTGCAGTTCAGCATAGAATGTGGTTTTCAGGGCCTCCCCCAGACCTGCGCTCCCTCCTGGGCCCCTGATTTAAGGCTGGGGTCCAGGCCCCCTGGGCTCATTGGCCACCTTGGGCCTGTGGTGAGGGTGGGAAACGCCACAGTGGATGGGCCCCCGCCTTGTCGCAGCCTACGCAGCTCCTGTTCTGTTACGTTCCGGGTTTCCAGTTAGGACCGATGAAGGAAGAAGTCTCCTGAGCTCTTATCTCATTTGGAAACTGTCAGAATGTGTGAAGTTCACAGATCAGTCAGGCAAAGAGCATGGGGGTGGGCACAGGATGGGGGTCTGGGCACATCTGGTTCCAAGCAAAGTCCTCCCGGGTGCTCCTGCCAACTCGTGGTCAGGAACCCCTGGAGACTGACGCCCACCCAGGTGCAGACTAGCACCGCGTGGGACACGGGCTCCTGTGTGAGTCAGGGCTGCTGCCAGAGGTGCCCAGACCCAGCGCCGAGAGCAGCTAACACGGCCCACGCCTGCACGGCCTGCACGCGCAGCTCTGCCAGCTGCAGCACCCGCACCGGATTCTGCGCTCCGTCGGACCTCACTCCCTGCCCAGTAGTCCGTCCCCATCCTCCCAAGGCGGGTCCCCGGCCCTGCTGTGGGGGCCTGGTGCCCACAGGCCCTCTCCTCGGGCCCTCAGGTGACTGCCCCCTTGTGGGTGTGGGACTCCCCCCTCACAACACACATGGACCCCATGAGGTCCCTGGCGGGTGGGCTCAGCATTGTCTGCCCAGCCCCAGGGCAGGCCCCAGTTCGTGATGTGACTGTGGCCGGGCCACGGGCCCCGAGGGAAGGCGACGTGGGAAATGGACAACGACTGTCCATTTTCTGTTGCTGGTAGCACGGTGCCATGGGCCGGGGACATTGCAGACAAAGGTTTCCTCTGGCGCGAGGTTCTGGCTTGAGGCAGTAGCATGTGGCAGAGGCGGGGAGCACATGTGCGTGGCCCCAGGCCCCCCTCAGCCACCTCCTGAGGCCCCGTCGCTGCGCCAGGCAAACCCATGGTGCTTGGGCATGAGGCTCAGTGTCAGGTGGCTCGGCCACAGCTCTCTCCGCGTCCACTGAGGGTCTGCGGTCAGCTCGCTTCATGCCACTGGGTCTTGTCCCTCCTCATTTTGGCCTCAGAGCTCCTGAGGTGTCTGAAACAAGTCCCGCCCAGTGTTCACGGCCTTCCCCCTGCAGAGAGAAGGGGTGAGCTGGACAAGATGGATGGGAGTCGGGGGAGGAAGGCCTCCCCAGCCCAGGGGCCGGCTGAGAAGGTGGCTATGGGGGCAGCTTCCTCGGACGACTTCACACTTGCGTGCTGACTACTGGGAAGGGAGCGGGCTGGCCCCAGCCCCGGAGTTTGGGGGGTGCCCACTGGGCCCCCCAGCCCTGGACACGTGCCCGGAGCCGGCACCCATCCCTGGCGTTGGAAGTCCCTGTCCCCAGATGCAGTCGCCGGCCCTTCCTGTGAGGCCCTTGGCAGTGGAGAGCTGCCCGTGACGCTCAGTCCCCGGCATCGTCACCCTCCTCCAGCCCCCTTCCCTCCCGGCTGTAACCGGCTCTGCTGGGGTCTGAAACGGGGTCTGGGTCTCTGTGACCTGCCAGCTGTGTGGTCCATGTACAGCAGAGACGGGAGAAGGGGTGCTGGTCCCAGTGAACCCACTTGTCCAGTGACGGTGGCAAAGGCCAGGGAGGGAGAGCAGCAAATGCAGTCTCGCCCACCTCTGACGGCTGCCGCGGTGCAGGTTTTTGCGTGGTTTGCCCTGTGGACGGCACCTTGGTGCTCACGGCCAGCGCAGTCAGCAGGCTGCAGGCTGGAGGCTGAGCAGCCGTGGCGGGCAGGCCCCAGGGTGTGGTCGGCACAGGCAGCGTTTCTTGTCTCGTAACAAGGGCTGGGGAAAGCTGGGAGCGCGGCTGTGCCCGAGCCCTGCACTGCATTCAGCTGACGGTGCCCGTGTGACTGCTGCCCTCACGGCTGCTGCTTCCTTCTCCGTTCCTTCCTTCCCACTCTTCCGTGAAACGTGTTTGCTCTCCAAGTCTTGTTCTCAAGTTCACTGTCAGGTGGGAAAAGCTGGAGGGGTTTTGCTTGGTTGTGTCTGTCGCATGTTGTTGGTCTGCTGTCTGGTTAAATGTGGGTGATGCTGAGTGTGTGACGTCACCTGCTGTGTCCAAGCATCCAGTGTTCACGGGAGGGATGATTTTCACACAAAAGGCACTGGCACTATGCCTTGTTCTCTGACTGTCCTAAACAGTGCATAGCCAGCATGTCTGGAACTGTCTTGCTGTTTAAAATCTCTGCGGCAGCAGTAGCACCCTGGCCTGCAGCTGGGCCAGAGACATGCGTGCCTGCCCGTCAGGCTCCAGCTCCGGGCCTGCAGCTTTGGGGAGCTGAGAGAACCTGGCCCAGTAAGGGAAACATGGCAACTCACACCGCATGCACGTAACGTGTCTGCAGAGGACAGTCCGTGTTGAACGGCGCTCGGCTCTGACAGCGCCACCTGAGCAGCATCTTGTCATGTCAGTTCCCAGGGGCCAGCGAGCCTGGGCCAAGGATGCTTGGTTCTGCCTCTTTGAAGTGCTCCTGCAAGCCGTCTTCCAAGATCATCTGGACTTAAGCAGAAATCTGCTGTCCCACACGTGTGCACTAGGCACAGCCCGGATGCCAGGGAGGGAGGGCACCGCTGGGCTTTCAGGCTGAGCCTCGAGTGGAGCTGTGGCATACTCTCAGGCCATCCCTCAGTCCCCCCGTTTGCTTAGAGGTCCAGGTGGTCCGGTGGTTCCTGATGTCATTAGAAAGAACCGACTTCAACACAGTTGGGTTAAACCCAGGGTGGCCTGGACGCAGTTGCATCGGCCACATCTTTTGAATTTGCAAATGGCTTTCCCGTATTTGCAAAGAGCACCCAGATCAAAAGGGCAGATTCAGCAAACGCTGATTTTTTTTGAGGGAGAATTTTGCCTCAGCCACACATGGCTCCTCCCGACTTAGATGTTTTGCGAGGAAGCCGTGATGTTTGAAAGAGGCTTTGCCCCCCAGTTCGAGCACCCCAATCCCTGATCCCAGAGGGGCCAGGTGCAGCTCCGCATGGCTCCATGGGCCTGGTGTGGCCTTGCTGACCTTGCCTTGCGTTTCTTATCCAGTGAGCCTGCCCCTGGGGCCAACTGGTGTGGACGGAGCCACGCCAGTGCCCGTGGAAGCGGAGGAGACAGCGTCGGTGGGCAGCTGCTTCGCCTCGGAGGACACGACCGAGGACTCGGGGGTGATGAGCTCCCCCTCCGACATCGTCTCCCTGGACTCACAGCACGACAGCCTGAAGTCCAAAGACAAGTGGGCCACTGACCAAGAGGACAGCAGCGACCAGGACTTTGCTGGGACCCCGGAGCTAGGTCCCCCAAAGAGCCCTCCGTGGGACAGGAACGGCCCTGGGAGCATGAACCCAAGGTGAGTGACGAGATGTGTGGATGTCGCCATGGTGATCCTGGGAGGCGCCGGCCACACCCAGTCGTCATAGTGACCCTCCTGGGAAGGGTAGGGGCTGTCCCCCTCAGTGGGGGCTTCCGCTGTTTGTGGAGTGGGTGTTGCCGTCACATGTAATGCTGAGCCCCCACCACCCTCCCACAAGCACCCCGTGTCTAGGCGTCACCCATGATGAGCCGGCATCCCTCATTCATTTCCTTATCCACTGTCCTGGTAGCCAGCACGTCAGTCATTCTCTTTTTCCCAGGCTGTAGAATTTCTGCGTATACATAGAGAATATTCTAGAAGAGAAATTGTTAGACCATCAGAAAGATTCGTCTTCACTTTAGGGAATGTGATGCACTGCTCCCCACACCCTGGCCAGCACTGCCCTCCCGGGCCTGTGCCACACTGGCGGCTGTCAGTCCAGCCCACACCAGGGTATGATTGGCCGGCTTCCCGGGCCTTGCGGGCATGAGGGTGTCACGTGACACCCTGGCTGTCCTATGGCTGTGAGCGTTTAGCCTTTCTGCAGCCTTTGCCCTTGTGGAAAGCTTGACCAGTAGAGCTTGTGCCCACCCTGTCTCATCGGTTACTACGCGTGGACTGACTCTGTGCCTGCAGCCTGACCTGAATCTCATTCTACTTTGCTGTTCAGTAATTACCTTTAACATGAGAGGCACGGAATTCGTCCTTTTCCTCCCAAACCTCCATGGTGTTTGTGTGATTGAGAGACAGCCTGGGGTGCCCTCTCGTCTCCACACCCCGCCCCTGTGCCCCTTTTCCTGGGGATCCGTGTGTCTCGCCCCATCTCCAGCCCCTTCCGTCACTCCCATGCCTTTGTCCAGCTCTGCACCCACCGCGCATGGCCCTGGCTCCCACGCTGATCCTCTTTAGCCTTCAGTTTTTGCACCTTTTACGTAACTTTAAGAACTGGTCAAATAAAGACTGTTGTGCAAGCATAAATAGAAGGTAAGCTGGGTTCTAAAAACTGTTTCTAAGTCAATCACGAGAATGAGCAAAGGCTTCCGTATTTTGCACATTTTGTTGCAATTGTTTCCTTAAAACCACTCATCAATTGTGTTGTCAGTCACCTTTTATTTTATTTTGTTTATTTCTTCTTCTCCATCTGTCAGGGCCTGGGTTTCACCTGCCCAAACCAGAGCAATGGGAGGTGAGTGAGCGCCTGGTGGTTCTAAGCACGGAATCTCGGCCACAGCCACGGCCGTGGCCATGGTCAAAACTGGGGTGATTTTCAGCCAACACCAAGGTCACATTTTGTTCGCGTCGACTTTCGCCTCATGTTTTACACACCCCGCATGGGCAGCCTCGCCCTTGCATCTGCAGCACGACCCTAAGGCTGAGTTTGTATGTCCTCACAAAGGACATCAGGCTGCAGCTGCTGGCCCGGCCTCCCTCCAGCTCCCACGGGCTGCGTGTGGTCGGGATGACCCCACGCTGCCTATGTCTGTGGCAGCAGAGAACACAGTGGCACTCCCTTTAGTCACTTGTCGTGCAGAAACATGGCTTTGCTTGGTGCCCTCCAGGTCTGCGCTCCTGTGGACCCTGTGGCCCCTGTGGACCCACTGCGGGAGGTGGCATTGTCTCGGCTGCTGCTGTCCATGGTCAGGGAATCTTGCTGACTTCTACCCGAATATGAGAGTGGTGTTCTGTGGGGCCACAGGCAGGATGGTCCCTGAGTCTCTGGATCCTGGCGCTTTATCCCAGCAGGAGCAGGACGCGTCATCCGCCCTCATGTGTGCCCGCCCCTGTGGGCAGCCTTGGAGCAGGGGAGACTTGGCCCAGTCGTCAGTACAGAGATTCTGCCCAAGGAAGAACGCAGCCTGAGCCAGACCTGGAGCAGAGGTGTGCAGGGGCCGTTGCCATTCTGATGGAGGCCCTGGGGGTGACAGGCAGAGAGGCCGTGCACAGCTCGCCCCAGATGCAGCTGCCCTTCAGGGGGACCCAGACCAGTGCCCCTGACACCTAGAGAGCAGTGGCACGAGGGTGAAGATGTGGCTCGTGGGGCTGCCCCGGGTCAGACCTGCCCCGGGGTGTCCACGGTGTGCCTTTGGGCCAACGACTCCCCTCTCGGCTCAGCTTCCTGAGGGAAGAAGCTGAGCTACGCAGCACTGCCCCGTGAGACCAGCGCAGCCAACCTTTCATCGTGTGACACTGTTCACAGCTGACTTGCTGGGGTCTTTGTGTCCTGTGTCTGACCCAGGTCACCTTCCTCTTTACATAGAACACTTTTGCTGGAAAAATACCCTAGAGGATAGATGATGACAGATGGAGAGGTGGATGAGAGAGATGGTCGGTGGATGATGGAGGTAGGATGGACGGACAGACAGGCAGGATACCACATCCCCCTCCCCCGGGCGAGATCAGAGTGGAACTGGCACGGTTTCCAAGCCCGAAACCCAAAGCCAGCCTTGCTGCATGAGGCTATCTATCTAGCTGAGTGTAGATGTTGTACTGAGTTCTGACCTTCCTTTTGGGGTAAAAGGAGTGAGTGACTAAGCGGGATGGAGGCTTTTCCTTGGACAGTGAGCCAAAATGAAACCACAGTGCTCCCAAAGACAGAGTGTAGCGTCTGCAGGTGCAGGGAGCCCCCGTGAGGCCCCCACTCTCTTCCTGGCAGCCCTAAAGTCCCTTCTCAGCCCCTGCCTGTCCGTATATGGTGGGCACAGTGGTGATAACAGTGTCTGTGGGACCCTGTGCTGCGGCCTGCAGGGCCTTAGGGGCTGAGCTCTCGTGGAGGGCCTCTGAGGGAACCAGGCCCTGGTGTCCTAGCAAATCCCACCAACCTCTGCGTCCTGAGACTTGGTCACTTTCGACATAGTTTTTGTGTTCTGGACCCTGAAGCCTCATTGCTCTCTGGGTTCTGTGCTTTGTGCAGCTCACTTAGACACAGTTGGCATATTCTAGGTCTGGAACTCTGAGACTGTGGGAAATTGTAGAAACATTTTATACGTCATAGACCCTGTCCGGTGCCCTTGAACTTTGGGACTGTTTAAGACACATACAAGAACTTGCACTGCCCACTACTGTGGCCACTTGCGAGGTCTGTCTGCTGAGCCCTTGGCAAGTTCTGGGTCTGAATTGAGATGTGTTTGCAGTGTAAGATGTGTACCACGTCTAGAATGAAAAGCAGCCATTTCGTTGGTTAAACTGCCTCTTGTGACACCAGCATTCTGTATCGGAGTGCTTGAGTCCCAGCTACTCTGCTTCCAATTCTGCTAGTGCACCTGGGAAGTCAGAGGAAGATGGCCACAGAGCTTGGGCCCCGGCCTTCCACCCATTCGGGAGACCAGGATGGAGTCCCTGGCTCCTGACTTTGGCCTGGCCCGAACATCAGTGCTGCACCGTCTGCAGAGTGAACCAGTGGATATATGTGCACGCTTGCTTGTTCTCTCGCTATCTCCTCCTCCCTTGTCACGCTTTTGAATAATTAAATACATAAATCCTTAAAAACTAATTTCTTAAATTTGGAACTAATTCAATAATCATGTTAGTTCCATCTATTTCTTTGTACTTTAAATGTAAGTGCAGGATTTTGCCTCACACTCATGTGTGAGTGCATTGAGTTAGACACTGTTGCTGCAGCGCCCGGAGGCTTTGTGCACGCAGGAACGCAGACGTGGGGAGCTGACCTGTGTGGACGCAGCCACTGTGCGCTGCCCAAGCCTCCATTCAAAACCCTCCGCAGGAGAAGGTGCTATCTGGGAGCGACACCTCTCTCTGCTCGGATGTTTTTGTTGAGCTGCCCCGTGCAGATGCCCTAGAGGAAGCCCAGCCACGTCAGACAGGGGCTCTGGGCAGGCTGTGCGCACGCCCCGCGGCTCAGGTGCCTCCCGCTCAGGCTGTTCTCTGCGTCTCGCTCTTTGCAAATGAAAACCAAGAAACTCCCCAAGCGCCTGCCTCCCTGACGCTGGTTGGCTATGGCTGCTCCCACTTCCTGTCTGGCTGGGAGTGGGGTGAGCCCATGCTAAGGGCAGGCAGGTCTGTGCGTGCCCACCTTGGCGGGGCAGCACCCTCTGAGCACCCGAGGGCTGGACCCATGGAGGTGCCCACCCCCGGGCTCTGTGCAGCAGGACAGAGCCCAGTGCTGTCCCCGTCTTCCTGTTTCATGCAGCAGTGGCCCCGCATCTCCACCCACTCCACAGCAGCTGGCACCGTGGGATCGAGCTTCTTCCACACGCTCAGCCTGATGGTAAAGAGTCTGTGCTGTGTTTGCGCTCTATTTTCCTACAACAGACTGTCAGTTGAGAAGCGTGGTCTGAAGCTTGGCTGGCTGGGAGTTGGGGCGGGAGGAGGGGAAGGGAGCCCGGGAGAGAAACACCTGTGCACATTTGCTGCCTGCACCCAGGCACTGCTTCCTGCTGCAGGGACTCCGGAGTGCATGCCCGGGGAGGCGCTCTCCAAGCCCAGGGACGGCAGGCACACATCCTGTGCCTTACGGAGGCAGGAAGAGGGGCTGCCCCCTTGTAGCCCTTGGCGGGGAGCAAATGGCGTGAGCAAGAAGGAAGGGTGGTATCTCTGAGTCTGCCCCTCCTGAAATCTGAAAGGAAAGTGAGGTAGAGGCATTGCCATGGGTCTTCGCTTTGCCACAGGAGCCACCCAGGCAGCAGTCCCCCGGCCACGTGGCTCCAGGAGAAGCTGCCGAGGGTTGACAGGCCCCACTGCTTCCTCCCTCTGGTGCGGGGGCCTGGCAGGCTCGGGAGACACCAACCAGGGACCACAGTGCACTGCAGCTGGCAGCTCCTCCCCTGTGCCCTCTCTCTGCCTGGCAAGCAGGGCCCCAGAGCCCAGACCCGCGTGGCAGTGCCAGGGCGCAAGGCCAGACTGTGAAGGGGAAGGGACGTGGGCAGGAGAGCCTGGCACGGAGCAGAGGCATCGGGGTGGCCTGTAGGGGTCAGAGGAGGCAGACGCAGGGGAGGGGCGAGGCAGGAAAGAGGAGCACAGGCACTGGGCATCTGACCGAGCACCAGGTCGCCAGGCCTCGGGAGTCTGAGTAGGAAACCAGCAGGACACCGGCCCCGGGGCCTGGCTGCCCAGGCCTCTTACAGGGCAGCGGAGCCCGAGCTGAGCTGGGCGGGAGGAAGCTGGGCTCAGGCCTGGCTGCAGGGATCCCTGGCGGCTGCCCGGCTGATCCCCACAGCTGGGGTCCCCAGGCTCTCAGCAGCACCACAGAGAGAGTCACACACCCACTTGTGATGGAAGAAATACGTAATTCCTTTGTAGGAAGGAACTACTGAGCACTGGGGGGTGCAAGGAGCATTTTACAACTGTGGTTGCCTTCTGCTCGCTGACAAGCTGGCGTGTCACTCCCGCCGCTCTGCACTAAAGCGAGCACAACTCCGGGCAAAGGTTGCTCCTCGCCGTGCTTCCCACTTTGCCGTGAGTCCTGCTGCTGCCTGGGTTGCTGCCTCCCCCTGCCCGCAGGCCCGTGCTGTGCTGATGGCGTCACCCTCAGCCTGCGGTATTTGCGCGTCTGGATTCCTTGCTGTGTGGTGCCCCCCAAGCCTTGCTCCGCATTTCTGCGCAGACTCCGTGGTCCTCGTGCAGGCTGCACGTGTTAGAGCTCGCCACGTGGGTGCCATGAACTTGGCTGTGTGCAGATTTTGCCTTCTGTGGGATCACGTCCTTACAGTGAGCTATCAAGAGACAATGGACAGAGCCCTCAGCTAAGAGTGAGCATTTTAAAAGTGCCCTTTTTCCACTTGCAAAGCTGTTTTATATAGCGATCCCCCTTTCTTCCTTTACCGTACAGTTCGTTACATTTTTAAATGCAAATACTCTGATGTGGATTTTGAAGCCCTCACACGCCATGAAAGTGAAAAACATGACTTGAGCAAAATGCACTTGGTAATTAAAGGCCAAGGACAGGCAGTCGGAGGAGCCGACATGCACCTCCGTGGCGGCCCCTGCTAATTGGTCTGCAGGCACACAGCTCCAGCCGGCCCCTTTGTCCAGCCTGTCACAGGCCATTAGCCGAGGCTGATCTGGAAGCCACGTCCTGGCTCCCGAATGGACCTCATCACTGAGTAAGAAAGACTCGTTGATCGGGACGAGACCCGTGCTGCGGAAGAGAGGGCTGTGCGGCCCGTTCCGGCTTCATTATCTGGGCCTGATGAGCAGCGACGGAAGTGGGCCCTCCTGTGAACAGTCGGCGGCAGAGTCCTCCGCTTCCGCCGCGGATGCACAATCGCGGATGAGCTCTGTGTCCCCGCACAATGGGTGGGAGGAGGGCGGCAGGAGCCCTGCGAGGACAGCTCTCCAATTGTTCTGGCAGCAGTGTCTCGCCGATGCCCCTGTCCCTGTGACGCACATCGGGCCAGACCCGGCAGCCGGGCAGGGGGGCGGCCATCGCCCGGACACCCTGTGCTGTGGGGAGCCCCAGCTCCCCAGACGTGGCTGGGCCACCACCAGGCTCTGGAACAGGCACACCTGGGGTGGATGCCAGGGCGACCGGGGCAGCTTTCTGCCCGCACGATGGTGACAACTGCACTCCTTGCCCGACGCATTGCTCCTGGGGGTTGTAATAAGATGATTCGCACAGAGGAGCCGCGTTCAGGCCTGGCACAAGATGGCTGCACACTTTGGTGAAGGCACACGGGCCAGGCCGGTCACCAGGACCTTCCCAGGAAGCCTCTGCAAATGGCTGCAGGAAAAGAGTGGACGCTGCCACCGTCGTCATGGGCCTTGTGTCCCCCTTGAAGGAGCCCATGCAGCTCGGCTCTGTGGGCGGCACGGTCAGCGCCCCACACCTGTCCTCTCCACCACCTGCCCCAGGCTCTGCTGGGGAGGAGGGGCACGAGTGCGTAGTGCCGACAGGGGCTCCGGGCACCTGCCTGCCTCTGCTGGGGCCTCCTGACAGCAACACCCCCAGCTGCTGCCTTTGACCAGGGCCTCAGGACACCAGGAAAACAGGAATGCTCTGGGGCCAAGGGGGACGTGGACCAGCCCCGGGCCACCACCTGAGTGCAAGCTCAGCAGCCGCTGCCTCTTTCCCGCCAGTGCTCGTGCGGGACAGGTGTGCAAACCTGCCCTCGCGGCACAGCGCCTGGTCTTTGGGCAGTGCAACTGAAACAGACTTCCGAGGGAGTGGGCCCGGGGGGCGGGTGCTCTACCACATTGGAGCACCACACTCTACGTATCTCACACGCGCACACACACCACATCCAGCACACTTGTACACACATACGCTGCACATCACACAGACCACATCCAACACGGGTGTACACACATACACTGCATATAACACATGTGCAGCACATGCGTACACACATATATTACAGACCACACATCACACACACATCACAACCAGAATGCATGTACATACACCACAGAGCACACACACACACAACACATGCAGCACAGGTGTATACACAGACATACATTGCACACTATGCATCACACACACATACACCACAATCATACAAACCACATCCAACATGGGTATACACATATACTGCGTATCACACACACGTGCGGCACGTGTGTACCCACATAGTCACAGACCACACATCATACATAATCACCACCAGCATACATGTGCAAACAGCACACATACGTGGACCCCATCCAACACATATGCACACAGGTACACCTCACATAACACACACACACCTAATCGAGCATGGGTGTACACACACACCACACAGCACACACACATACACCACACGGCACACAGAACCGCACACCATGCCGTGTACGTCACGTCCTTCTTCACTCATACCATCTACAATGCATTATGTACATTCGTGCATGCGCACACATCACACCGGCACACCGCACAGACACACACACATGCACGGCCGTGTCCGGGGTGCAGTGGGCATGGGCCTGTGCTCAGATCTTTCTGGAGAGGAGCACGTTACATCCACCCTCGGAGCACTGAGCTCCCTGCCTTTCTGTCTCCCTAGAGCAGGAAGAGTGGCCACCGCCACAGGTGATGGCGACGGCGACTTCCTCCTTACGGGCCAGTTCCAGAGAGCACTGGTGGAGTTCGAGGGAGACATGGAAGGTGAGAACCGGCAGCCTCGGAGCACAGAGGGGACAGCTGCCCTGTTGGAGCCCACGGCCGGGTGGGCGGAGGTCATCAGAAGAACCCCAGCTGAGAGCTGCAGGGGACAGCCGGGAGTGGGCGTGGGGCCGTTGGGAGAGAGGGTTCCTGGTGGACGGCTGTTCTCCTGGGCCCTGGGCAGCCTCACGGACCTCCCTGCAGGTGGTGTGCTTTGCATGTTCTGTGCTTGGACAGAAAGGTCTAGAACACGAGATGAGTTAGCGAGATACAGAGTGGCACAGAGCAGAGACTTCTGCCTGTCTGGGCCTCTCGTAGCGCGCTGTCCGTGGCTGCCTCCATGCGACACAGACCTGAGAGGCCGCAGCAGGTGCATGCTGTCTCCCTGAACAGCTCCAGGCTCTCCCAGATGAGCCACACCCTTCTCTCCAAGGGAATGAGAAATCATGTCATGGCCAAGGCTCCAAACCAACCCAAAGGAAGGAAGGGAAGTAGAAAACTGCCCTGGGGATGCGGTTGCCGCTCTGAGTCCCAGCCCCACCTTCGGAGTCTGCAGGCTCAGGCTCAGCTGGAGGAGGCCCAGAGGCCTGGCCGCCTGGCTCATTCAGAAGTGTGTGTCCTGGGGACCCGAGCAAGACGGGGCCAGCCCGGAACCCCCTCTCCCCTGTGTGCCGGCAGTTTCTCCGGGGGTCGCAGTGCACAAGCTGGTCCCTAAGTTGACCTGTGTCACAGCCGCATCCCCCAGCTTGAAGCCTCCGTGTCTGCGGCAGGTTCTCAGGCTGAGAAGTAGCCTCAGAGGGCCGTGGGTAGCTGCAGCCATGATGTGACCGAGGTGGGGACTGTTGCTGTGTTGCTGGCAGTGTGTTGCTGTGTTGCTGGCAGTGACCTGCACTTGTCCTTCCTGGCAGACGTGGAGGAGAGCTACGGGACAGACAGCAACTCGCTGACCAGCTCCAGCACTGGCGAATCCCACCACGGTGCGCGGGAGGCCCCGGCCTCGGACGGTGACGCGGATGCAATCCCGGTGACCTTCATAGGGGAGGTTCCTGACGATCCCTTGGACCTGGGCGTGTTTTGCAACAGAAACAACAATGCCGGCTCCTTTGACACAGAGGATGCCGCCAGCAGGAGGGCACACCTGTCCCCGTTCCAGGCTGGGCCCAGCCAGCCCCATGCCAGGGTGAGCACAGAGGGGCCTGACCCACAGGCTCCTTCCCGTGACGCATCAGCCGCATCTGCCACCCGCAGAGACGGGCGCCCAGCTGCAGCGGGGCCTCTGGGGACAGCTTTTGCTTCCAGGCTTCGTGCCGATGAGCACAACACAGAGAACGACGCAGCGCGTGGCCCTGCCTATGGTGAGAAGACGCAGGCCACAGAGAACACGAGGCCCCCGGCCCTGCCTGGGAAGGACAGCAGGGCCAGCAGTGCCATCTCGGCCCCGCTGGCCTGGCACCAACGAGGTCAAACCCCTGGGGGAAGCTATGGCCTCCGCCACGGCCTCACCACCTACAAAATCGTCCCTGCCAAGTCGGAGACGAGGCGCTACGACACAGCAGGGTCCCTGTCCTCGGGTGCCATCATGATCAACGAGCGCGGGGACCTGGTGAGCCCCCACACAAACACCAGGACCATCTCCTCAGCCCCATCCCTTCCGGACACAGACCCTCAGCCTGTCGAAAAGGTCAGAGAGTTCTGGAGGTGCAACTCTGTGGACAAGCCCCCGGGCCAAACCAAGAGACCCCTCCCCACCTCCACCTCCGTCCCCGCCTCCACCTGCACCTCCTCCCCCACCTCGGCCTCTGCCTCTGTCGTGCTGGCCCAGCCGCTGCACCCCGATGGCTGGCCAAGAGCAGTGAACACGCCCACAGCACCGCGGCCACAGTCTGCTGCCCAGGAAGCTGGCACGCACCTGGAGGAGGGGAGGAGCCGGCCACTCTCGCTGTCCGTGGTCACTTGTCACACGCAGGTGCCAGCCACTGGCAGCACGGAGGTTATGTTCCCCAGGCCCCAGAGGAGAACGTCCAGCCAGTACGTGGCCTCCGCCATAGCCAGGCGGATAGGACCCCCGAAGGCCCAGCAGCACGGCAGTTCTGACAAGGGCCACGCAGGCCGAGCACCAGCGCCGGCTGCACAGCCTCTGCCTGCCCCCTGCCTGTCCTCAGAGACGCAGGGACGCAAAGGCAGTGCTGGGCAGACCTGTGTGGCGGGATCAGCCGCGGGAGCCCACCCTCGAGGGGACATCTGCAGCCCGCAAGGAAAGCTGTCGTCTCCTGGGGACAGTCTCCCCAGTGTCCCCATAGGGTCCGGCTTCCCGCGAGGCGGACCTTCCCAGAGGGATCCTATCTCTCTGGAGCAGGCTTGTGGTTTCACCGGGAAGCAAAGTACCAGGAACCAGAAGCCTGGCACAGCGTCCGACCCTGTGTGCCCACGGAACGGGGCACGCCCCCTGACCCAGCAGGTGGCAGACGCCCAGGCCCCGTCAGGCACGGTGCTGCTGAATGGCTCCGCCTGGGCTCCAGGCAGCCGTGGGCTTCCAGGCCCGCCCTCGGGCTCCGGCACTGAGCATGGAAGGGCTGTCAGTCAGCTGTCAGTGGGTCAGTGTGTGAGCCCGGGAAGCAAGGACACACCACAGCCCTTACCCAGCAACGCGCATGACACAGACGGGGCCCCGCCCCTCAGCATCTTTGGGCCGAAGAAGAAGTTCAGACCTGTGGTCCAGAGGCCGGTCCCGGAGGACACGTCCCTACACAGCGCCCTGATGCAGGCCATCGTCTCTGCCGGGGGGACACACACGCTGCGCAAGGTGACGCTCAGGCTGGCCCAGGGGTGCGCGGGGTGGGGCCTTGGACGGGACAGGAGCTGTGGGGTTTAAGGCACGGGTCTCCTTTTACCCAGAGTTCCTGCCTAGCTCCCTCCCTCCAGTATGTTTGAGTAGACCCTCAAGAAGCTGGAATCAGGGGTTTTACGGCACCCACATCCTCTCCGGGCCCCCGAGGCCTTGAGACAAAGATGTGTCAGTTGCGGTGCAGGCTGGGCCAAGGAGTCCAAGGATGGCGGGGAGGTGTTGGGGAGGGGACTGAGCCGACCTGAGCCGAGTGTGCTCGTGTCCCAGAGTCCCTGGGCTGAGTGTCCCTGAATCTCTGAGTCCCTGCGACCCAGCATCCCTGGGAGCAAGTGAGCGAGAAACACAGAGCCGGCTTCCCAAGTGGCCACAGGGCTGTCTTCTGGGGCTTGTTTCTTGGGTGAGCCTCCAGGGCTGTGCCTGCCCAGCCTGGGTGGGATCAGTCGCTGATGTGGCACAGTGTGGCCTCGCTAGGCAGTCCAGAGCCCTGGTGACCATGGGAGGGGAAGCTGGGTTTTCTCTAAGCAGAACGAGGCACTGTAAGATGAGCCTGGAGAAGCGAGCGGTCGTGAACACAGGACCATGCCCCATGCTGCAGGGGGAGGGCGGCACGGGAGAGAGCATGAGCAACCTGGGCGGTAGCTGGAGTATTCCAGGCCCACGGGCTCACATGCCCGCCCCTGGGCTCGGCTGGGGCGTCATTCAGGAGCAGCAGGAGCTGAGTCAGGACCTGCCCCCCAGGCCTGGGCACTCAGTGCGTCACAGATACAATGGCATTCAGGCACGGAGCCAATCCCCTCACCAGGAACCATTTCCTCAGTCTGGCAAGTGAAGAGCCGGGGTGCAGCCAAGGGACCTGGCCCGAGGCCCCAGCCTGGCTGGGCCTGGGGCTCCCACCCGGGGCCGTGTGCGCTGCCCAGCTGTGGGAGGCTGGGTCTGGTGACAGGGGTGACTGGATGCTCAGAGGCTGTCATTCGGTGCAAACCCAAGTACGCAGCATTTGATTCCGACACAGACACCCCATGACTTATGCTGCAGCCATGTCCCAGGAACCCACTCCTATGTGGGAAATGTCAGTCAAAGACTGACTGCTCCTACCCTACCAAGGCTGAGCCCAGCCTGCCTTAAATGTGCCCCAAACCCTGAGAACAGCCTGCGGAGGGGTAGACCGTCCTATGGAACACCTGCTTCCAAAGAGACGTGCACGAGTCCCTAAAGCTTATCGACCCTGCACTGAGGGTGCGAGCTAGCACAGTGGCCCAGTGGAACCGTGGGAAGCCGGGGGCCATCTGTGTGCCCATCCTGGCAATAACGGCCATGCAGGGCTTCCCTCGGAGCCGCCCTCAGTCCCGTCCCCGCACATCCTGACTACCGCTTGCTGACGCTGTGACTGCTTCAGACCGCAGAGCTCAACGTGGAGCGGGGGCCCAAGAAGCCATCCTACACAGAGGCAGAGAGTGAGCGGTCAGCGCTGCTCGCGGCCATCCGAGGGCACAGCGGCTCCCGAAGCCTGAGGAAGGTAAGGACAGGGCTCTGCCGTCATGAGTAACCCACCCTCCGGCCCTGTCCAGGGAGACGCCAGCATCGGGATGGGCGCCCACGGCCAGAGATAGGGCTCCTGGACACTCGCACACTGTCCGTGGAGAACCAGCGCTTCCCCAGTCCCTTCAACGCCGAGGCACTGGGTGCACATGCAGGACGGCGGCTGTCTTCCTGGAGTTCCAGGTTTTTCATGACCTCGGGAGTCCGTGCAGACCGAGTTAGGGGTGGCTTCCAGGCACCGATTTTCAGGAGCAGGGCGACTGGACGCTAAGGCTGGGTCTCGGGCTGCTGCCTCAACAAGGCGCCAGATGTGTGTGCGCAGCTTCTGCTCTGTGAGGCCGGGGTTCTCAGGCATGACTGCCAAATCCTGGCCTCTGCGACCTGGGGCCTGGCCGCAGCTCAGCCATCGGGCAGACCGAACGTCCTGGGCTTGCCGCAGGTGAGTTGTTCCGGAACCAAGACCAGGTTGACTGCGCTGCCCTCTGAGGAAGGACCTTTGGGGGCAGTGCCACTGACCCAGCCCATGCCGGCTGTGACAGACGAAACAGCACAGCCTGGGGCCAAGAGCACGGTGCTGGCAGGTGCAGCATCTGGTGAGGGCCACTTTCTCCCTAGGCACCCGAGTGCGGTGGAAGGCACTGGGGGGCGCCCTGGGGTCTCTCACACTGGCACTTACGCCAGCTGTGAGCCTGTCACTCAGGAATCTAGGGGCAGTCATTCGACTTCTCCCTACCAGGTGTCCTCCTCGGCCTCTGAGGAGCTCCAGATCTTCCGGGATGCCGCGCGCTCTGCAGCAGGCCCAGGGGACCCTTGGCGGGAAGACCCAGGCCCTCCACCCCCACCAGCCCTGCCAGCCCCTGCCCTGCCAGCCTCCCGAGCTCTCTCTGCATCAGGGGCAGCCTCCGGGTCCAGCACAGGCACTCTCGACAACCCGGTGGACGCCAGGCAGGCCCTGATGGACGCCATCCGCTCCGGCACAGGGGCTGCGAGGTTGAAAAAGGTGAGCATGTTGGGGGGGATGGGAGAAGCAGAGGTGCCCTCGATTGGAACACACCTGCCTGTGGGGGAGCCGCAGGGTAGTCACAGGTAGGGCAGGAGAGCGCTGAGGTCGTGCGTCCCTCACACTGAGGGTGAGAGAGGTCGGTGCAGGCTTCCATGCACAGGGAGACAGGCAGAAAGCCGCCTCCTGCACACCAGATGCCTGCCACAGTCCTCCTCAGACAGAGGTGGGTACCAAATCACACTCCTATCCCCTGTGCGTTCCTGCCCTAACCCGTTCTTGGGACTGGTCCTGGACAGGCTGAGGATAATCCAGGATGAGTCCCTTAGTGCTCAGGACACAAGCCCATAGTTACAGCCTGCAGTGAGACTGCTGCCTCCCTCCGTCTCTCCCCCCTCCCCTCCCTTCCTTCCACCTGTTACCTGCTTGTTCATTTGTCTGTGTGTGGTTCCAACTACTGTAGCTTTTCCTTTCATCCATCCATTCACCATCCATCCATGCATGTATCCATCTGTCCATCTGTCTATCCATCTATCCATCTATCCGTCCATCATCCACGCATCTATCCATCCAGCCAGCCATCTTTCCAGCCATCCACATATCCACCCATCCATCCAGCTATACATCCAGTTTGTGCATGTATCCACCCACCCATCCACCCATCCATCCATCCATCTATACAACCAGTTCATGCATGTATCCATCCACCCACCCATCCATCCATCTGTATATCCATCTATATACCCAGTTCATGCTTGTATCCACCCACCCATCCATCCACCCATCCACCCATCCATCCACCCATCCACTCATCTATACATCCAGTTCGTGTGTGTATCCATCCGTCCATCCCTCAGTCCATCTGTCTATCCACCCATCCATCCACCTATATTTGCCAGCATTATGTTTGACTGTTCCTGGAGTTGAAGCCCCTTGGGCAGGGCATGCACTCTGCTGTTCTCCCAGTTTCTCTTTCCGTAAGTCTGATGCTGGCCTGCATATCTGTCACCACCTGTTCTGTAAAGACTGTGGAAATAGTGACCGTGCAATAGGATTTCCAAATCACAGGAACACTCGGGCCCAGTGGCTCCTGAGATTTGTTTCACGTCTACAGGGATCCTGAGCACGGAGTGACCCTGTCCCTGGTGGGTTTGGGAAATTACATGGTAATAGAGAATTGGGGGAAGTTTCTCTTCTGAAATCTGAGGCTGTTTTCACGTGCACCTGAGGAGTCAGCCCTAAAGGTTATCCTCAGGTTGTGTGGAAAGTGAATGAGGCTCAAAGAAGCTGGGGCACTCTGCCTGGGTCCCAGGGGGGCTGGATTCCTACAGGGATCGGTCTGGGTCCAGAAAGCCCTCTCACATTAACAAGCTGTGTGTTCTGTGGAGAGCAGGTGCCTCAGGAAGCGGTGGCTGGCTGCTCTTGGGTGAAGATGCTGGCACCATGGAAAAGGCAGGCAGCTTCCCTTGCTGCCCTCGAGGGAGCCTGGTGGTGTTGGGGGGAATGGAGGGAGGGCAGTGCAACTGAAGGGCCGTTTGCCCTCCCTAAAAGGCTGTGGGCCCCAGACATCCTCGGCTCGGTTGCCTATAAGAGCCACCAGAACACACTGACTCTGACGTTTTTGGAGCCCAGAGGCCATTTCTCCCTGCTCTGGGGTCAGCCCCTCTGGCACAGCCAGCCAGGCAGCCGGTGCATGTAGGTTCCAGAAGGGACCAAGTAAGGAGGCAGCACCACCACCACACCTGGGGAGAACACGTGTGGCCGCAGCACCACCTCTCCAGGAGAGGACGTTGAGAATCCCTGTGGCCCCTTGGGGGCCTTCGTTCTGTTTCTGTGGCATTTGCTTAGTGACAATGTTATGTGCTTCCAAGTGAGAGGAAGTGAAGAAACAGGAGGACACAGGTAAGTAAGCATCACGAAACCAGACACCAAAGTCGGGTGACGCTAGCTCTGCAGGTACAGCAGGAAGGGACCAAAGTCCAGGCCAGTCACCACTGGGAAGAGGGGTTCAGCACTGGGCAGTGGGGACAGCTCCCTCTGAGCCGATTTGGCCGTGTGCTGTGCAGTTGAATGTTCACTTTGTAACTGCATTAATGGTTGCCATCCTTGTCTCATTTGACCCTTGACATGCAGTCCTGTCGTGCGTGACAGTGAAAACTCATTCTCTGAGATGTGCTTTGGGCAGGCTCATCACTGTGCCACCACCACAGACCACACTGTGTGCCCAGCACCTCCCGCGCTGTCACGGTGCTGTGCTGTGTGGCCAGGATCAGGCCAGCACTGAGGGGACTTCTCGTCTCCTTGGCTGATCTGGGGGTCTTGTCAGAACAGGCGTTGCTGTGTCCACCTTGCAGGTGCCACGAGCAGCTGAGGCCGGCGTAGGCTGAAGCCTCAGGTCAGGCAGTGGGAAAGGGCCGGGCCACCGGCTTCCGCCTCGGGGCTCTTTCTCTCTAAGAATCACTTCTGTCTTCCAGAAAAGTCAGCAAAGTATGTTTAGCAGTCACCTCAAAGCTGGGGAAGTTGTGCTGTGACAAGGAACATGGAGAGGGTTGAACGGACATGGGCGGAAGGGCCAGACCAGCCGAGTGGGCTTTCAGGATGAGGATGAGGCTGGTGGTTCAGGCTCTGTGCCTGCTCAGCTTAGAGCTCGCTGGGGCCAGAAGCCCTGGGCGCTTTTTGCCAGCTACACCCACAAGCCTAAGTTTGGTCTCTCTGAGTTATCTCAGTACTGCGACTTGCTCTGTCCACCCCGGAGTTCCAGACCGTAAGTATTGACGAGGCACTTCAGAGACCAGGGTGCCCTGAGCAGGTGACAGGGAGTGTGCCGTGCCCCAGGAAGGTGACGCACACTCTGGGCTGAGGCTGGGGCCCCGAGTGGTGAGGAGTCTGCCCTGGAAATCAGGCCTGGCAGTCTCGCCCGAGTGAGGAGCCTGCTCCGGCTGCTGATCACGTAAAGCCTGCTGAAGATGTGGCTCACGGGCCAGGACAGGTAGGCCACTGGCCACCACTGCTGTCAGGACTGAGCTGACCTCTCCAAGAACCCATGGTGGATTCCCTGGGCGGGGGTTCCTGCCTCCATCTCTGGAAGCTTCCCCACCAGGCCACTCAGGTGCAGCAGGGTCCCCAGGCGTGTCTGCATTCCTGGCTGTGAACCCTAACTCTCCAGCTTCCCAGACAAGGGCAGCTGTCTGCCTGCACGCACCCGGAGGTTTGTGTGCGGAAGGTCATCCTGGTGTGTGCTGTACCCTGGGGTGTGCTGTACCCTGGGGTGTGCTGTACCCTGGGGTGTGCTATACCCTGGGGTGTGCTGTACCCTGGGGTGTGCTATACCCTGCTGTGTGCTGTAACCTGGTGTGTGCTATTCCCTGAGATGTGCTATACCCTGGGGTGTGCTATACCCTGCTGTGTGCTGTACCCTGGCATGTGCTATACTGTGGCGTGTGCTATACCCGACATGTGTTATACCCCTATGTGTGTATACCCCTGTGTGTTGTCCCCTATGTTTGGACTTGGCCTCATTTGTACAGCTCCTTTCCGCTCTGTGCTCATCTCTAGGTGGTGCAGTAACTCCCGGAGCTCGGGACCAGTATGGCCTGGGCTGTGCTCAGATGGGGACCTTGTCCTTCTCTGGGCCATGCGTGGGGGCTGCAGGACGGCCAGCTCTCCTGGGGCAGGTGGCTGCAGTGTGTGGTGTGGGACCGCCGCCCGGAGCAGCACGGCCTTCCCCTGTGTCCCCAGGGTGCCTGTATTGGTCAGTGTTCAGGCTGTAGAGAAGCTCGCTCATGAAGGAAAGATCTGGAGGCTTGGAATCCACATCCGGCAGGAGGCAGAAGAGCTCGGGCTGTGTGACAGGAGCCAGCCCTGCGTGCCACCCATGCCCTCAAGGGCGGGGCCTCAGGGAGCAGTCGCCAGGCCCCACCGTGGGGACCAGCCTGCAGCATGCGGCCCCGGTGGGGACGCTTGAGCCAGACCCAAAGCCTGCAGGTACCTGACAGCCAAATGGTGGGCTGGGCCCAGGAGAGGCAGGCAGCCGACGGGCCCCAGCAGCCGTGTGGGCTGTGAGGACCGACAGAGGGCAGGTGGGAGGGCGAGGCATTGTCACCCGGACAGCGACTCGGCCACATTCCCTTCCACGGTCGGCACCACACTGTGCCTCTGCCGCTGTGGTGCAGCTGTCAGGGAGGTTTCCTGTTCTCTGTGGTTTTCCCTGGGCTCCGTGCAGGAGCCCTGGCATCCTTGCCGTCCCGCTGCCGCTCCTGCAGGGGGCGCTGTCCTCCCTGAAGGCGAGGCTCTGACCCCACAACCGCCAGCCTCGCATCCTTGATGCAGGTGAGCCGCGGGCCCCTGGCTGCTTTGTCAGCCTTGCTTCGGCGCCTGCTTTCAGAGGGCCCAAAGTGCTCATCAGGGACTCCGGTGCCCAGCTCTTTACTCTGCAAGCACGGCTGGAGGACCCGGCGGCAGGGCTGGCCCGAGGCACCGTCTGTCTCCCCAGGGCCCTCACGGAGGCCGTGGGGGGGGGGGGGTCAGGGACATGTGGCTGCTCACAAGGCTTCCCTCGGTGCCCCGCCTGCCTCAGGAGAGCAGCAGGGCCAGCGCCGACTCGGAGCCTGCCTGGCGGTGCAGGCCGCGGCTCCTGCTTGCCGACAGGCAGGTGTGACACAGAAGCCAGCGATGGTTGGCCCCGGCCCTCCCTGGGCCAGCACTGCTGTCAGCCCAGGTGCCCTGTCAGCTGCTGCCTGCTGAGCCTCACAGTGCTGCAGCCTCGCGGCCAGGCCCTCAGGTGCCTGCTTTTCTGCTGCAGATGCGTGGGAGTCGTGGCCAGCGGCCTTGACTGTGGACCCTGTGGGAAGCGACTGGACACGTGGCACTGCCAGGAGGCCTGGGCCCCGGAGAGGGAAGTCAGAGACCACACTTCCCCCTGGCTCTTCCCCTGTGCTCCACGCTCCCAGCTTACGGCAGACCCGGGAGGCCTGGCAAGGGTTCCGGTGGCTCTTGCTGTAAGCCCTGCATGTCAGTTAGCAGGGGAGAGCTCCAAGGAGCAGGGCCTGTCCTGTGTTTGCTGCTGGTGGTCATTCTCGGCTCCACTGAGTCCTGTCCACTCTGCAGGCACTGTGTGAGAACCGTCACGAGGCAGCCAAAGCAGTGCCCAGCCTCAGGGCCTGCACAGCCACTGTTCCACCCTCAAAGCTGTTCCCTGCACTCCCAGTTCTTTCCCCTTGTGCTCCACGTCTCCGTCGCAGCTCCTCAAGGCCTCCCTCTGTAGCCTGCTGCCTGCATTTACAAATCACTTCCACACAGGAGCCCTCTGCCAGTCCTGCCTCCGACAGCCTGCATCTGGCCTGGGTCCCGGCGCAGTGTGGGGTCGAGCAGTGCCCAGCCTTGGAGCCCACTCCGTGTGCACCCACTTCCTGCCCTCTGAGTGCAGCGCTGGGTCTGTGTGCTTGTCCCGCTGAGTTTCACAGTCATCACGGAATCTGCCCGGAACCCACGTCATGCCAGAAGCACCCACCTTCTCCTTCCCTGGGGCTTTGTGAGCCCCAGGCTCCCGCCCCGGGCCTGTTCCCCACCCCCAGTGCTGGGCAGCGGCTGTGTCGCTGGCCGCAGGGAGCCCGTCCGCCTGGAGACAGGAGCCTGAGGCAGGGCATCCGGCTGCTGCCCTCAGCTCCCCTCGTCCCCGTCGTCACGTGAAGGCCATTCCCCTTGCCAGGCGGCAAAGTGTGTGCGGTTGGTGTTGACTGCAGCTCTGCCAGCCTTGTCCCATCAATGATTTCCTTCTGGTCCGATCGAAGTAAAGAGAATTGTGGAGGAAGATCCTAGACCCCCGATGGGCACTGCCAGGCTGTGCCCCCCACCCCCGGCAGCAGCTGCTGCTGTCCTCACAGGCGCTCACTGGTGACACAGCCCCAGTGCTGGTGCCCTGGGGCTGAGGGCCAGACGGCAGAGCGGTCCCCGGCACGGGCCAAGCCGGGGTGAAGGTGTACCTTGCTGCTCCGTGTCAGCTCACTGCGCCGATGCAGGTCTCTTCACGGCTGCCCACCTGTGCTTGTTGTCTTCATGCCCAGGGTGCTTTCTCCCCTCCTAACCATGTTCTTAACTTGCTGAGGGTTCTTGGATCTCTCGAGCTCTCGTCTGGCTGCTGCCGGTGGGCAGCCAGCCTCCAGATCTGTGCCAGGCCCTCCCTGAGAGAGCAGAGCTACGGCCCCTCCTCCCCCCAAGGTTTGCCCTGCAGCTTCGTTCGCTGGCTCTCGTGCCTGCTTCTCCGTGGATGCCAAGAGATTTGCCTTGGCAGGGTGCACGGCCTCTCTGAGAGAGGCTGGGTTTTAGGGGTGCCGGCGATGCCCTTGCACCTTGCACCTGCCCCCACCCTCAGCCCGGCTGCAGGCCAGGCCCACTGAGTGATGTGCTGAGCCCCCTGGGCACCCTGCTGTGGGTGAGACCTTCGGATTTACCCAAGGAGGTCGTGGTGAGGAAGGGAGCGCCGGTTCCCGGTGTGCACGCAGCCAGCGTGTAGACTGTGCTCCTGACTTTTTCGCACACACGTGTACCTGCTTCACATCCGGATGTGGTTTGTTTCCCTTTTGTAAAAGGGTTTGCTGTGAAGCCCACCTGGGCCTCACAGCGACCTCTTCCTGACTTTCGATGTCCCTGCTGCAGCCACGCATCCAGTTGTCTGCGACGACTTTATAATGGATTTTCCCCACGGTTTTGCCGTGACGACTGCCAGGCATTGAGAAGTTGGAAGAGTTGTGCAGCGGCTGCGTGTGTTTGCACTCAGGCCCACCCACCCACGTGGAGTTTTACTCTAGAAGCAAGTGAGGCAGGCACCCTGCGAACACCACAACATCTGACTCCTTAGTCATCTAGGACACGCTGCTGGAGCTCAGGGTTTCTACGGCTGTTCCTGATATAAAATGGGCATGCAACAAAATACAGTCGTCCTGAGGACCCACATTCCCTGTCCTCACCCTGGTGGCTTGGGCTTTGTTTTGGATTATATTAGGGAAAGAATGGGACAAATAACAAAGAGTCATGTGGAATGTCCGGCTGTCAGGATAGATGTGTCTGTGTGCCTGCACACACACACACACGTATATATGAGAATACTCCAAAGAGTGGAAAATGGAGTGAACACCTAAGTTTATCTTAGTGCAGACCACTGTTTGAAGTCAGCACCTGGCTGTGTCATGTTCATAGTTCCCATGAATTTTGTGAGTTCCCTCTGGCCACGGGTTTCACTTCTTTCATTTGCAGCCCACATGCTTGCTTGGCACACAGGAAGTTCTGTGTGCTGGGGTGCGGTGCGGAGTCACGATTGCCACCCCCAGAGCCCCTTGTGGCAGCGAGAGCCAAGCATGGCACGCTGTGGCAGGCAGGGGCAGAGGGCAGCGGCGGGACCTGCCGCCCTGTGCGTCCACTCTCGAATGGGCGCGTGCTTTTCTCCTGAGTGGAGCGAGCCGCGGAAGCTCAGAAGGCCGTCGTATTTCAGCACGACTTCCTCGTGCTTCCTGTGCTGGTGTCGGGAATCCCCACCCCGAGGCCGCTGTGCCTCAGCAGAGCTGAATAACCGGCTGCCCTTGTCTTCCCCGCAGGTGCCATTGCTTGTGTGAGTCACTGCTGGAGGTCAGGACACCCAGAACCCGCCCGCCAGACACCCCCGTCATCACCGGAGGATTCCTCGTGGCAGGAACATCCAGCCCTGGCACTGCTTCCTTGTCCTCAGGCCAAACGCGGGCAGTTGCTTCTCAGTCTGTTCTTGCGTAGATTCCACAGGAGGGAAAGGCTGCCTTGCACTGCAGCTGTGTGCCAAGGAGATGTGCTTTGCCTCTGAACACTTACAGTTGCCAACAACGATCCTTGTTGGCAGGCTGCAGGGAGTGCAGCCGCCAGCCCAGCCCAGCCCTTGGCTACAGCGCCGGTGGTGAGATGCCGACTGGGACCGTCGAAGCTTCTCCCCCGTCCACCATCGACGGCTGAGCCTTTCACCTCGGTGAAATCTTTCTCTGCGGGTGGTCTGCTCACGTGTCAGGGAGCTGTGAGGCTTTTTCCAAGGTGACTGCACTGGGCGGCAGAGCTGTTGGGTTCTTGTTCCTCCAACATCAGGGTAACACGCCTCGCAGGGGTTTGTGATTTGGCCAACAAAGCTGAGAATCGACTGTCAGTGCCCAGAGCTACAGTCACACAGAATCGTGCGCACAGGGCATTCCCAAGCCCCCAGCTCTTGCCCGGCAGGCTGTGATGTGCAGAGGCCTCCCCCAGGGTGGGGGCTGTGCACGGAGCCTCGGAAACCCTGCCAAGGAGCAGGGCGCTGGGTGCTGCAGGTCACAGGGAATGCAGCAAAACCGTGCCTGTCTGGGTGCCTTTCCCACGGCTGGGTGGCTCCCTGGTGCTCCCTGGTGATCTTGTCATGGCACACGGTGCTTAGCCACCAGTGCTCATGGGAGCGTTTCACTCCTGCATCAGTTCTCATCCATCTCTCTCAAGTGTTTTATTATATTGGAAAAAATCTCTTTGGGAGAGTCGTAGAGATCATGGGACGTTCATGAAATAGAAGAACTCGCCATTAACGGGAAAGCACGGGTGAAGCAGTGGTCTTGCCACTGGGATGCAGGCATTGGGGCCTGGGAGCTTTGCATCGTGGCTGGACTTTGTGAGCCAAGAGCTACCATCCAGTTGCTCCAAGTCACAGCTGTCTAGGGTTTGCCTCTAGTGCCACAAATAAATGAGATGAAATCAGAGCTGTGTGTGACCCTCCTGCCTCAGTCTGCTTGGGTGCCCCACCTCCAGCGCAGGGAGGAGTTCACTTATTGGATCAACAAGCATGTGTGGCTGCCCGCTCCCTGGGTCTCTGGCCCTCGCCTGCGGCGGTTTGGATGTGGTTCAGTCCCCAAGGCTCCCTGTGCAGGAACTGGGTCCGCTTGGTGATGCAGGAAGAAAGGTGGGGTTTGGGGCATAGGCCGGGGCGGGGGGGAGGGGGCTGCTTCCAGGTAAATACGGCTGTGGACCCGCCAATGGCCTGGAAACAGGAGCTGGTTCTCAGCTCATGCCTCGGCCTGGGGGGTGGGGGCCGTGCCCACCTGCCTGATGCCATCTGTTGCCTCCTGGGTGCTGGTGGCCCCAGATTCCACTCTGGTGTCTCCACTCCACTGCTAAAAGCTCACTGATGGAGGAACTGCTTTTACTTGGGTGCAAAAAATACAAAATCTGTGCTTGCACAAGGTCCTCAAAAAGTGTCACGGAAAATGCACGTTACCAGAAACCTACGTGTGGACTGCGAAGTTTTCACACCACAGTGAACTTTCACCTTTCAATTCTGTTTTTCCATGAACCCTTTTGAAATTCCCACCTCAGCTTCCCCGGTGGCCTCTCACCGCTGCTCCTGACCTGAGATTTGAGTGTCCCACAGAACCTCTCCCCGTGTTCCTGTGTGACCCTGGCCCAGCGGCCACCGCCTGCCCCCTCCCTGCTGCCCGGACCTGCTGGGCAGCCCACCTGCTTGGTGCTTCCTTCCTGGAGACTGTGAAACATCTTCAAGTCGTCTTTTTGCCTGCCATGGCTTTCAGGCGCCGGAGCTGCGACCACCGGCTTCCCCAGCATTTAGCTCTCACCTTGTGACACCCCTGATGCTGGTCCCAGAGGTGGCTGAGAACAGGGAGGGCAACCCTGCCTGCTCTGTGGGGAGGCCACAGGGATGTGAGTTGAAAGTTAAGGAAGATGAAAAGGGTGTGCAACTATGAAATCCATCACAGAAACAAAACAGGAAGGAAGGGGACTGAGACCAGCAGCAAACCCAGTGCGCAACAGGGCCTCCTCCACCGTGCTCCTGGGTCACAGGCTCGCTCCTCTGCTTTTTGACCCACGGGTGCGGCAGGAAGTGCACGGTGCCCGCATCCCACAGTTTGATGTTTCTTAGCAGGGAGTGGATGGCAGGCAGCATGGGGCAGCAGCAGCAATGAGGGAGATGAGCGAGGTTGGCGGGACCTGGTGTCCACTCTGTTGTGAAGAGAGGCAGGGAAGGAGATGGCCAGCACCCAAGCTACCAGACTGTGCCTCCGGCTGCACCAGGGTGTGGCCAAGTCTAGCTGCCCAGAGACATCTGGGTTCCCGTGTGCTGTGAGTGACAGTTGTTGGAACAGCACCCAAGGGTGAGGCTCGAGCACAGTCAAGTCCCCTCTCCTGGCAGGTGCCGTGGAGAGCTCTGTGCATGGGAAGGACACCAGGTCTGATGGTGGGACCACCCCCTTCTCTGGAGCCCAGCTCCAGGGGTAGGGACAGGATCCAGGTGCCTGCTGGGCGTGTCCCCATGGAAGGACCCACCGATATGGGTGAGAACTCAGTGCTGCAGCAGCCCTTCCTCTTGGCATGCACCCAAAGTCCCCTCCCTGACCCCCCCCACCCCGTGATTGCTCCTTCAAGCCAGAACCCGTGGTGGGTACTACAGGGAAGTTGGAATGAAATAAAACCCTTGCCTTCCAGTAAGCTGAGTGGAGGGGCCACGTGGACGTGACCATTCATAGTGGATGTGGTCCTGGGACAGGAAGGGCAGAGAAGTCTGTGAACCTTCCCAGAAGAGGGGGTGGGGGAGCCGGCTAGCTGTGCACAGAAGGGAAGCCGTGCTTAGTGGATGGACCAGGCGGGGAACAGCACCTGGAACCTCCGTGGGGTCCCTCCAGATGTGCCCTGGGAGACCCAGGGTAGATTTTACGCGGTGCTTTCCACCCTGGCAACAGGCCCAGGGCTGAGATGTAGACTCACCAGGGGTGTACGTGTTTCATGGGGAACACAAAGGTGTCAAAACTGACAGGTCCAGAAGCCATGGCCCCATCACCTGCTCATACTGACTTGGCCATGAGCCCAACCAGGGTCCCCGATGAGTGGGGCGGAGCTGATGCCAAGGCCTCCCTGGGGCCGACAGGGCCCACTTTCTCCAAGTGGACAAAATGAGCTTTTGCTGCTGGACGCAACTCCCATTCCCTCTGAGGAGCCTGAAGCGAGGTGGAAACATGAGGTTCCGAGGCTGACGGGGACACCTCGCCCTCCCACCCAGGTCCTGCAGGAGCAGGGCCAGGTCTCCTGGGATCTCCCCTGACGTCTGGGGAGACTATGTGGTGGAGCCAGCCCTGCTGCAAAGACCACCTCGGAGAGGCCAGAGGCCTGACGGGGGCACACATCACTGGCTCTGGCTGTGCCTTCTACCCCAAAGCCCACAATGGTGAGGCCGCTGCTGCTGCTCGGCTCCCGAGCCCACCACACCCGCTACTCCAGAAACGGGAACTGCCTGTGCTTTCCCAGATACTCCACACAGGCTCACTCTTTCATGTCATCCTGCAAAACCCAGCACCCCTGCCCTATGGGACATGTCCCCTCCTGTTGCATTGGCCACTTTCCACTGGCATCTACTGGCTCCTGTGGCAGGGAACTCCACAGGCCACATCTTGCCACGTAGGAGCTTCAGGCCTGGGGATGCAGCCCAATGTGACAGGTGCACTGTCAGGTGGGAGTAAGTCTGCCCCAACATGACTGACAGCCAGTCCTGACAGATGGAACAGACGGGCCCAGGCCAAGGGGGTTGCTGGACGGGACTGAGGGGAAGGTGGGTTTGTGACATCAGGCCTGGAGAGGGAGGTGAGGCAGAGAAAACAGCTCTGGGCTGTGGGAGCCTGGCAGAACCCAGGGCAGGGGACAGCAGCCAGGGCTGCAGCAGGACAAGGAGGGTTGGTTGCAGGAGGAGCTGTGAGAAGGGCCCCAGGTCAAACATCCCCCACCCACTTCTGTCCCAGGGTCTGCCTCCAGCCTCTCACCTGATGCTGCGGCCATGACTGACCTAACCATGGCCTCTTTCCTAATCCTGCAGCAGGCTGCACCGCCCAGGAAGGGGCAGCTGTCTCCCAAGTGTGTTTGTCTTTAACATTCTATGGAAGTACAGTCTACAGATCAAGAAATGCCCTCAGTGTACAGGTAAATGAGCTTCTGATCACACTGGGAACCAACACTCAATGAAGAACAAAATCTTCCTACTGCCCCAGGCGTCCTTACCAACCCCACTACCGCCCCAGGCGTCCTGACCATCCCCCACTACCGCCCCAGGCGTCCTGACCATCCCCCACTACCGCCCCAGGCGTCCTTACCAACCCCACTACCGCCCCAGGCGTCCTGACCATCCCCCACTACTGCCCCAGGCGTCCTGACCATCCCCCACTACCGCCCCAGGCGTCCTGACCATCCCCACTACCGCCCCAGGCGTCCTGACCATCCCCACTACCGCCCCAGGCGTCCTTACCATCCCCACTACCGCCCCAGGCGTCCTGACCATCCCCCACTACCACCCCAGGCGTCCTGACCATCCCCACTACCGCCCCAGGAGTCCTGACCATCCCCCACTACCGCCCCAGGTGTCCTGACCATCCCCACTACCGCCCCAGGAGTCCTGACCATCCCCCACTACCGCCCCAGGCGTCCTTACCATCCCCACTACCGCCCCAGGCGTCCTTACCAACCCCCACTACCGCCCCAGGAGTCCTGACCAACCCCCACTACCGCCCCAGGCGTCCTGACCATCCCCCACTACCGCCCCAGGCATCCTTACCATCCCCCACTACCACCCCAGGAGTCCTGACCATCCCCCACTACCGCCCCAGGAGTCCTGACCATCCCCCACTACCGCCCCAGGCATCCTGACCATCCCCCACTACCACCCCAGGAGTCCTGACCATCCCCCACTACCGCCCCAGGAGTCCTGACCATCCCCCACTACCGCCCCAGGCATCCTGACCATCCCCCACTACCGCCCCAGGCGTCCTGACCATCCCCCACTACTGCCGCAGGCGTCCTTACCAACCCCCACTACTGCCCCAGGCGTCCTGACCATCCCCCGCTACTGCCCCAGGCGTCCTGACCATCCCCCGCTACTGCCCCAGGCGTCCTGACCATCCCCCGCTACTGCCCCAGGCGTCCTTACCAACCCCCACTACTGCCCCAGGCGTCCTGACCAACCCCCGCTACTGCCCCAGGCGTCCTTACCAACCCCCACTACTGCCCCAGGCGTCCTTACCAACCCCCACTACTGCCCCAGGCGTCCTTACCAACCCCCACTACTGCCCCAGGCGTCCTGACCAACCCCCACTACTGCCCCAGGCGTCCTGACCAACCCCCACTACTGCCCCAGGCGTCCTGACCAACCCCCACTACTGCCCCAGGCGTCCTTACCAACCCCCACTACTGCCCCAGGAGTCCTGACCATCCCCCACTACTGCCCCAGGTGTCCTTACCAACCCCCACTACTGCCCCAGGCGTCCTTACCAACCCCCACTACTGCCCCAGGCGTCCTGACCAACCCCCACTACTGCCCCAGGCGTCCTGACCAACCCCCACTACTGCCCCAGGCGTCCTGACCAACCCCCACTACTGCCCCAGGCGTCCTTACCAACCCCCACTACTGCCCCAGGAGTCCTGACCATCCCCCACTACTGCCCCAGGTGTCCTTACCAACCCCCACTGCTGCCCCAGGCGTCCTTACCAACCCCCACTACTGCCCCAGGCGTCCTGACCATCCCCCACTACTGCCGCAGGCGTCCTTACCAACCCCCACTACTGCCCCAGGTGTCCTGACCAACCCCCACTACTGCCCCAGGCGTCCTTACCAACCCCCACTACTGCCCCAGGCGTCCTGACCATCCCCCACTACCGCCCCAGGTGTCCTTACCAACCCCCACTACTGCCCCAGGCGTCCTTACCAACC